ATTTCCATAAATAGATTTCCATAAATAAATTTCTATAAATAGAATACCTTCCTAAACAACTTTTTAAATAATTAATGATCATGTTTATAAAAATCAAAACTTAGCTTCAATCATAATTATAAATCAACAAGCATCATACAAACCCTAGCTACTTGTACGTACCTCGACCTCTAAGAATTGTTACCCCACCCATAACAATCACAAACGATTTCCTAAACAAACATTAGGTGATTCTTGTGCCTAACCTCAAGGATTTTTCAAGAGGGATAACTTTTTGTGAAACAATAAAATGCTAAAAACAGATAAAAAGTACCCAAAAAAATTGGCTTTAAATGTATACGAGTTGATTACCTAACAAAAAAGGTTAAGAAAAAGTAAGAAAAGGTTTAGGGAAAAGAAAAATAAGAGAGAAGAAGAGTATTGGGTTTTGGCGTGAACAATATGAGAGGTGTAGAGGGGTATTTATAGTGTTTAGGAAGTATGGAATTAGGGTTTTATGATTAGTAAAAAGATAGAAGGGAATTTAAGGTGTAAAAGGAAATAAGATTATCATTGATTTTTTTTTTATTTACAAAAATAATTAGGAAAATACTATAATTTATCATTTAATAATTAAATATGTAAAAAGATAGAATTTATAGTGTGAAAAGGAATGAATACAAGTATGAAAAGAAATAGGTTTTTAAGTTGGTTTTAATTTATAAATAATTAGGAAAATAACAAAAATTTATCTTTAAAAATACCATAAAAAATCTGGTTTTTATCTAATACTTTCGGCAGCCACATTTTTTTTTATGTTAAAATCGAAAACATAATTAATTTAGGAAATTAATTAATAAATCCGAAAATAGCTTAATAAAATCTAAAATTGTAATATTAATACGATTTAATTTATTAATTATCATAAGCAAGAATTTTAAGCTAGATAAGTTTTATAAACTGAAAATGATTAATTTTGACTTGCAAAGCTAAAAGATAGTTAAAAACTTAAAATATTTCAAAATAACTAATCAAATATTGATTTCAAAAGATAAAATCACTTCAAAAATAAAAAATTATTTTTCGTAATTTATAATTAATTTTTGTAACTTTTAAGATAATGGTTATTAATTAAATTTAATGAATCCAAAAATTCAAAATTAATTTATTAAAATCTGAAAATTGATTTATAAATTCATTAAACAACAAAAAAAATTACTTAGTTTAGTTAAATAAATTTTGGAATATTAGGATGTGATAGATTATAAAATTAGAAATTATTAACATTAATCAATCAAAATCCAAAAATAATTAAATAAATTAGGTGATAAAATCCTAAAATGTGAATGATATATATATATATATATATATATATATATATATATATATATATATATATATATAATCCAATATTTTGGCGCCTAAATTTGCATTCTTATTTTGTCTCTTAAATTCAAATAATAGAATATTACTAAAATACTCTTATTAAATTAAAATAATTAAGAAAAATAATTCTCAAAATTACGAGTACTACAACTCCAGATGAATATGTGAATTTATTGTGTTGTAGGAGTTAAGACAACAGCGAATCTAACTTTTTTTTTTAATCAGTGGGTTCAACCATTATGAACAAATTATATTAAATAATCCATAAATTAACAAATTTGTTAATATAAAAATTAACAAATTACGTGAAACAACATATATATATTATGTTATACATTGTTGACATATATAATTATTTGTATTGATAGAATACTTATAATTTTTATATTATCTTACTTATATTTAATAATTCAATAATATTGACTCATTATCTTAAACATAAATCCTTTCTACATAAACTCCGGGAAGTTCAAATCTTCGATCATCGTTCTTTTAGTGATGTTCCGTCACTCCGTACATTACTCTTTTTCTTAAACTTTTTTGATATTTGTTGTATATGTGTTTATACTTGATACAATTTTTATATAATTAAACTTTTTTCAACTTACTGGATATGTGTTTACACTTGACGCTGTTTTTGTTGCTAGATTTGTTAGCGGGTGATAATTACGATCAAATGAGATAATCAACATTAACCCTATAATATTATTACGGAGTATTATTTAAGTTGATATTTTTTTTTCCTATCTACCATGATGAATATTATTATTGTTGTTACTTTTAGTTCTTATATTATTTTGACGTTAAAGTAATTAGGGACAAACAAATGAGGTAATTAACATTAGCCCTAAAATTTGTAGGTGTTATTGTTTAATGTAGTTTAAAGAATATGACAAATGAGTTAGCTTAATGGCCTTACAATTTACTTTATATTGCATGGCAAAACTAGCTATTCATCTCTATTACAAGTGAAACTACTATTTTTCAACTGTTTATGACAATTGAATATATGTTGCTTCATTTTTATGTAGTCGTTACTTTTGATAGATTAACCACTTTGCAATCTATTTGATCATTAATGTGTACTTAAGGTACTGTATGGATGTCATAATTAGAAGTATGAGTTGATAGATAGAGTTAGGATATATAATCACTAAGCTAATTAGCCTAATAGTATCAATATAATATAGGAAAAATTATCAGTAACTACCCACCTAATAGGTCATTTTGTCAACAACTACTCGCTTAAAAATTCTATAAAAAAAAAAAACTACCCTAAGTTTAAAAAGTTTGAGTGGCACTACCTTTTTAGTTTTCCGGCAACAAAATCCGGCAAGTGGACCCATTTTTATTCTTATCTCCAAAACTTAAGGACGAAATGACGAATTTTCCCCCAAATTTGCGAAACCCCCAATTTTACCATAAATAAGAAGCAAAAACAATGTATTCACAACCTTAAATTGGCCAATTACAACTAAAAACCACAATTACCCCCAATTTTACAAAACCCCCCATTTCTCTTTCAACAAAGAACCCTAATGTTGTAATTATTCAACAAAATCTGGCAAGTTAGGCTTAAGTTTTGAAAGGAAAAATAAAAGTTGACCCCATTAGCCGGATTTTGTTGTCGGAAAACCAAAAGGGGTAGTGCCACTCTATCTTTTTAAATTTAAGATAGTCTTTTTTATAAAACTGCTAAGCGAGTAGTTGGTGACAAAATAACCTATTAGACGAGTAGTTCCTAATTATTTAGGGATTATTATTGGACTTGAACTCTGCAACGTATCTCTTTCAATAACTAGCTATAATGCTATATAAAATATTGCATATAAATTACTCCAATCTTTATACTTTGTAATTTATACTGTATTATCAGTTATTAACTTATTACGAATAACGCTTGTCAAAAAAAAATAATTATTAGGTATAACGCATACTCCTTCCGTCCCATAATATAATTCCTATGGTATTTTTTTCACGGTATTTAAGAAATGGGAGTAGAAGTAAAAGAAGTACATTAAAAAGTGGAAAAAAACAAAAGTTAAACAAAAGTACAAGGCAAGTGGATAATTTAAAAGGAAAAAAAGTGCAAAGTACTATTATAGACAAAAGTTAGAGCGAAAGTGGAAAAATGTACAATGCAAGTGGATAATTTAAGGGTAAATTAGGAAATTTAATGAATAAAGTAAAAAAAAATGAGGGTTAGACCCTCTTTACATACTATTCAAAAATAGAAACAAGAACAACATTTTGAATCTCCAAAATAGGAAAACATGAACTATATTGTGGGACAGAGGGAGTACATGAAAATGACAACGACTAATAATTTTATTTTATTTTTATTTAAAAAAAAAAAACAATCTTTGTTACTCCCTCCGCCCGCAATTATCTGCAACATTTACCTAAAATGGATGCTCTCTATTATCTGCAACAAATTTTTTATTTCCTTTTTTGGTAAATTTTTAGTAGTAAAATGTCACATTTACCCTTACTTACATTTTTTAACTTTGTTTACATTCTCTTAATTACACTCAATTACCAACTAATTACCATCTTATCACAACCACCTTCGCCGCCCCTACCACCACGAACCCAGAGCACGGTGCTTCGTCGCCCATACCACCACGAACCCTGAGCACCAACACCACCTTCTTCGCCCATAACACTAGCACCACCTTAGTCGCCCATAACACCAGCCCAGACGAGCCCAAAAACAAAGCACCACCTTTGTCGCCCCTGTTGTTGCTAAACTCCGACCATCCTAGACCGTAATTCGTCGCGCAATTCTCCACCACCTTACCCCAGCCACCGTCGCGGCAATTCCAGATCTGGATTTCGTGGGTTTGGCGGTGGGTTTCGTGGGTTTGGTGGTGGGTTTCGTTGGTTTGGGGGAGGGTTTCGTGGGTTTGGAGGTGGGTTTCGGTGGTTTGGTGGTGGGTTTCGGGGGTTTGTAGGTGGTTTCGGGGGTGTTGGTGGTGGGTTTTGTGGGTTTGGTGGTGGGTTTCGGGGGTGTTGGTGGTGGGTTTCGGGGGTTTGGTGGTGGTGGTTCGTGGGGTGTTGCTGGTTCTTGGGGTGGCACGGTGGTTCGGTGTTCGTAAGTGGTGGTTGTTCTTCATTGTTTAATTGTGTGTTTTAATTTAATTTGGTTTAATTATTCCTTCTCTCTCCTCTTACTTTTCAATAATCTTGCTTAAGAAGTTTTGCCTAGGAGTCTGCAATGACTGCAAACATGTCCTTTGGTGCAGAGAATCCCGGGCGAAGGGAGTATAAAAAATGTAGAGTATTATGTATTGTTGACTTTTACGAGCTATGACCTGGAATAAGGAAAGTCATAAAATTGTGGCATAGAATTGTAAATAAATTTAGCAAAGTCAATCTTAAATGAACAACCATTACAACAAATGTTTAAGTCGTTTGGTTGAACCTTTTTATTTAAAAGCACATATTTTTTGAAACTATGTTATGTATTCATGATATATAGTCCGTTTCTTTTTAGTTGTAACATTTTTTATTGTTGACATTTATATCTCTCTATCTCTCTCCTACCCACATGAGTCCCTTCTTTTTTTCCTCTCTATGTCTCTCCTACCCAAAAATTGCCTAGGAGAATGTAAAAAACGGAAAAAGTACAAAAATAAGGTCAAAACGTTCCATCTATTGTGAAACAGAGATAGTATATATCTAAACACATATTATTGATTCACTAGAAATGCTTTGAAATTATAAACTTGCAGACTAAATTCTTTAATTACAAATTTGCCTTTTACTGTCCGTGCCATTACAAACGTGCAAACTTTGTAGATTTGTATTTTAACATCTGCACCATTTACTTTTAATATGAAATGGAAGGAGTACTCTATGTCCGAGACTGAAAGAGTTAAGCTGGATTCTTCTTATCCAACAATGGATCAGAGACTATCTGAGGCTGAAAATCTGGCTTTATATAACGAGCTAGCATCTCAGCATAAAGCTCATACCTTGCGGTCATTCTGAATCCCCACTTATCTTTGATCTGCCTACAGAGGTTTAAATCCATATCTGCAACCATCAAACCATCTCTGAAACGAGAGAGGGACGGACTGCAAGAAGCATCTGGAGCAGAAAAGTGACTAGAACCATAGAAATGACCAAAATCCTTGTGCTGCGGCTTTCCATCTCCAGAGGTGAATGGATTTGGGAAGGTCTCAGTGCCAACACGATTTATTGAGCCAACAAAATAATTGTTTGCTATTGCAGCATTACGTGCCTGTAAAAAAAATTATCATAAACCATGATAAATCACACAGTGGAATATGTTACTGAATTGAAGTTGCCAGAGCCTGTAAATGGTCTCTCAAAATCTGTTTTAGGATGTGAAGGAATCGCTGTCAACTTTGTAAATGCAGCTTTCAATCTGAGGGGTGGCACACTGGCTGAATCATCCTAGGTGATGCTAACACCACAAGAATTTACCACCAAAACCATCCAAAACAAATCACCAAATTTAAGTAAGACCACAGGTATTTAAAGTACTATCAAACACTTACAATGTACTAATTATAAAAGGATTGGACTGTTTTTCAATAATCTGAGACCACCTAAAAGTGCCTCCCTCGGTTTGGGGTTAATTTCCTTGCTATCTGGAAATGACAATATAGTTCTTTTTGTGGGTTAATTTATCCTGAGGAGGAAGGGGGGGGGGGGGGGGGCGTTGTTGCTAGGAGGTGTGATGCATGTACATATATGATGGTCGGAGAACCCTAACGTATACAGGTCAATAACCTTGGTCTAGAGCACTAGAGCAATGCATCATTTGTTCAAAATGAGACGATACTGTTGAACTAGTTACTAAGGAATTGCTGAAGAAAAAAAAGTAAGATAGGGATGATACTAGATAGATACCTCAATTGGCCACATAGGTTCACTGAGCTCACCAACAGTAGCAGACGGGTTAAATACTATCTCTGCTCCATTCAAGCCAAAAGCCATCCAGTTTAAAGGATGATGCCTACCATAACATATGTTAATGGCAATTTTGCCAAATGCTGTCTCAAAAACAGGGTGTCCAGTGTTTCCTTCCATATAATATGTGCTCTCGTTGAAGTCCCCAACCCTAGGAATATGGTTCTGCCAAACACAAACATGATTATGACCGTGCTGAGAGAAGTTGATAACGAAAATTGATCAGACCAGCAACAACATGCTGAATTACCTTTCTGTGCACGCCTATAATGTTACCCTGATTTCCAATTACAACAGCGGTGTTCCATATAGTCTCTCCATGTACAACATCCCTCTCTAGAATTGGACTTACAATGACCATGTTGTACTTCCTAGCAAGATCTTGCAGAAATTGTGTCGACTCCCCATTGACAGGCTCTGCAAATTCACACCAACTTTTCTCGCGGGTACAAAAGGCAAATGGCATTGTCCACGCTTCCTGTAAAACATGCACGAGTTACGTACTTAACATGTTTCATAAGAAATTACAATCAAACTATATTGTCAATCCATTAGTATACAACACTTCATACCAAACTAGGCAGGGCATATGAAGCATTGCATGTAAATTACATCAAACTTAATTGTCAATCCATTAGTATACAACACTTCATACCAACTGTGCAAAAATTTAAAGTATATCGTACCTGAAGGCATAATATATTGACTCCCGAAGCGCCTGCAGCCTCAATGATGGGCTTCAATTTCTGAAAGATGGCTCTTCTTTGGTCTATAAAAGGTTCTGTTGTGGGCAGGGCAATAGAATTCTGGATAAGACCTACTCGTACAATTCGAGGCTCTCTTAAAGACTCCTTTTGAGCTTGAAAGCAGTATGCCTGTGAAATTATGTGGGCAAAGAAAAAAAAAAGTTACTTTTCAAGCACAAAGTAACCACATCTAGTCGTAATTCAATTTAGCCTTTACAACATACAAGCCACAAGGGCTCAGCAGACTGAACTGGGAATAGAGGATGACAAATTGACAAAGGCAATACACAATACACAAGGTGCAACGGAATTACGGAAATAACAAACATAATAACGGACAGTTTTGTCTTTTAAGCTAAGGGTGCCATCATCGATTCATCGCCAATTTAATTTTCCACATTATAGGAACAATAAGATGCCAATAAAGGATCATTAGATTACTCCACCACCCTAAAATCCACTAATCATTTGACACGTCGTGGTCAAAGTTTTGATAAACTTACCCATAAATGTGCTAAAAATTAGCAAGGATTACATTTTTTATACATCTATCATACTGTATTGTCTAGAAGAACACTGTCATAGACGGCAAAACTTCAAACATGAAGCTAATGTAAGAACATATTAAGTTTGTACTTCGATTATACAAATAAAAGCTTATCATATTCTTCACCAATCCAAGAATTTCATGATCCACAACATTATAATGTGAATTTTTTCTTTTACATTTTTCACAAGTGCTACAAATTCAACAAATTGTAATAGCATACATTCATCTAATTAACAGTGGAGACAAAAGAAAGTAGCCAAAACCCGAACCTGGAGATCGAAATCGTGGTCATTGGACAAATTGGTAGCTGCAGCTGGAAGTGTTATAGGATCAAGTGATCTTCCACAATTCAACCCATGAATCAACCTGCTTACTTCCTGTCATTTTGACCATCAACACATCACAATTGCACAAAATAATTCAATTTATATGAATCATATAATATACCAAATTACAACTATTGAACAAGTCAATGAACATTGATTTTCTTTATTAATTCATAACCTTTTAAACATTAATACTCCAACATAATTGATCATTCATTGATATTTGATGATTCTTAATAAGTGTACAAATCCTTGTCAAAGTCAACAAATAAAGTTTCAATCTTGTTAAGTACGGAGTAGTATTTTGTTTTAATTTACTTAGTTTTATGCAGCTACTTCCTCCGTTCCATAAAGTTCTTTTTCACGGGTCAGATCATTAAAAAAATCTGACCCGTGTGTCTATTAGACCGTCTGATACAAGAATTTGCGGGTTTTGACAGTAATTTAAATGAATGAAAATAAGAAATTGAAAAGGGAACCTGGAAGATGGGAGCAGGGAGAGAGGAACTAAGGAGGTGATGAAGAGATTCGAACCCAGAAATTGAACCGTTTGGTGTAGAAGAAACCACCTTTGTTTGGTTTTGTTGTTGATCAATTTCTCTCTCTCCGTTTTCAATTATGCTTTTTTCTTCCATTTTTTTTTCTTCTGGATGTGATTGGGATCAGGATTAGATGATGATTGATCAATTTTGTTTAGTTAAGGGAACTTTCTCCTTTGCACTCACCTTTATTTTTAATTTTTTAATATTTTTTTAACTTATTGGATCATCACACTAAGAATCTTTTGGTAGTTACGCAAATAAATAATTGGATTATATATACACGTATGTAGTATAAATTAATAAATACGTTGTATTTTGCTAATTTGTATGCAATGCCTAAGGTCCTATATGAACAACAAGTGAACTTACGACTTGATTAAAACTTATTTTTAGATGTGAACTATGTTTAGATAGTTTTTAACCTTGTTATGGAATATATTATTTGAACCAATTTTAAATTCAATAATCTAAATTTGTTATCCTAAACTTATTTTATCCATTATTTATCGAGAAATAAATGGAAATAAAGCGAGGGATGTAAAAGTTTTGTTTATCTACACCTACAAATATCCAAACACGACGTACTTTGTGAATACAAGTCGTCAACTTTACAAGGGTATCAATTTTAAGTGACTTTATTATCTACAATGCAAGATTGTTTGACCTCTCTCAAAAGAGAGCTTTATCAAAGCAATGTCGAGACAATAAAGCCTGTAAAATACATTCAATCAAACAGGGTCTAAAAGAAATGTTTATTCAGAAGTGAAATGGGTTTCAGGTATGTAATATTGTGATGTGTTACATGATTTAATATTAATTGTTAACATCGCGCTTATTATTGGAAAAATAAATAAAAATCAAAAATATCATAAATAAGTTTGCTTCAGCATAGCAAATTGAGTTGATTATCACATATTGATGAAACCTAGTTACCTAGTTACTCTTAAGTCCTCTTTAATGATAGTGTCAACCCCCTTATGGTTATTAAAGCTCTGTTAACTCTCCAAATCAACAATATCGTATAGTGGAGCATAAAAACCAGAAAGTACACTCTCAAACAGGAGCTTTGATGAGTTCTAAATCACATGCCTGCTAAAACATCGATTGCAGCTGCCACTCTGAAGTAATATTTTCAGAAAGAGAAAGAAGAGAAGCGTCATTCTAATTCATCTAAGTTTGATCAACGAGGAAAACAGCCATAACATGATTTATCAAAGGGAAAACCTAATCATGAGACTAGATTATTTTATGAGTTATAGGTACGCTGCGACAGGGCATATCACTTGCGTTTTTTCCTCAATTTTGCAGATTTTTCGGTTCGCAACTTCACTCTAGGTGTCGAGGCTGCTTGCACAGCTTCAGAATCTTGAGGTGTGCATAGCAGAAACTTCTTGTTTGAACCAATCTGCTGGCAAACCTGCTTCAGCATCCTCTTGCCTCTCATCCATTTCAGTAGTATCTTCATGTGTGTTTTGCTGGCTATTCCACTGATGCCAGCTTCCTACAGGAGCAAATTTACCATTAGAAATATGGAGCCAGTACAGAGCACACTTACTCCCTGGCTATTCATGATACCACTACTACAATTTTACTATAGAAGACACTGTTTATTTATAGTCAACAGTCAACATAATCTACTTAAGATTCTACATTCACCACCAAGACATGGAGACCGAATAGCATAAGCACTAATCAGGTCCATCATTCATTGCTTTCTGGCGCCTAAAGTTACAAGCTGATAGCTTATAAAGCATGAGACACAAGCAGTTTCAGGAATATATACACAACTGCTATAGTTTTTTACCCCTACATTTCATCATAATCCTCATCATTTATTTGAGAAATGATATTGATCCAATAGAGAAAAAAATACCATTGCAAATATGGGGAGGGAGAGGGAGAAAATGGGTGAGACAGAAATGAACAAAGAAGAAGCATAGAGGAATCAAATAGAATTCATGAACACAAACAAGTGAACGAGCATCAGTATCAAAAAAATGAGTAAAATTATAGAGCTGGAAACAACAAAATTTTGCTTCAAATCCTTGCACCTTCAATCCAATTATAAGCATGCATGCTTCTGCCAAGCCTATCTAGAACAAAGGTTATGACAGCCAACCAGGGAAAGATCTATTATGCCTTGGAATCCCAAAAGGTCACAGGAATTATAGCCTGAAATTTGTAACCTAAGTTCCATGTACTTTAAGTTTAGTAAAATCTCATGGTCACCTAGTAGATAACGTCACATTTTGTACTAAACTGTAGGTAAAAATTATAACTACGAAAAGTTTTGGATTAAATAGTGATCACAAAATTGTTTCCTGAAAATTGGTCTAAACATGAGGTAACTGGGAAGAACTAGACTACAATGCAGAGATCTCCATACCTTTAAACCCCTCAAGATATTTTTATTGGAAACAAACTATACCAAGAACCTGTGATTTATTTGTTGTAAGATGAAAGATGCCTTAAAGCTTGACAGATTATAGGGATTAAGCTTATAGGCTTGACTTCTTATTATCATTTCTAGGTCCAAAATCCTGGAAGTAGAGACAAAGTGAGGCAAGATAGTGCATGATTTAAATATAGGCTGTCTGGCTCCCATTCCTAAAATAAAAAGATGAAAAAGAATAGGTGGATACTTGTTAGATTATACTTCGTTGAAATGCTTCTTCCTATGCTCCACTCTAAATGTCTTGCTTTTTAAACAGGGTTACTCCACTTTCACTACTGTATTTCCTCTAGTAAATGAAATATTACGAGTATATTACTATCAATTTTCTTTTCCTTAAAACTATGACATGATAACATTGAAAGGAAAATGAGACGATCTTGGAAGAGCTTCACAAATAGTTGATTCCAAGGGCTTTTGAGAGTAAGAGGGAATCTGAATGATGATTCCCAAAGATTGTACATTTCTAGTAAAGTGCTCCCCTTATGACAATTTCATATGGAAGTATTGGTTAATACGCTTATCCATTCTCTATGTATGTCACTCACCAGTCACCACAAAGCATAATAGCTAAAGCCAAGGAGCACTGTACCTACTCTATCTGGGAAAGGGGAGAACTACAATTCATTGAGTTTGCTACAAGAACAGGTAGACCAAGGTTTAGATGCAAATTGGTTCATAAATATTATATTGATAGGTTTGCAACAGGGCAAGGCAGATAAGATTAAAAGTCACGCCTTTTGAAGTTTTGATTGATGTCATATTGACAAATCAGGGAGCTCCCAACAGACACATTGGCACAAAATACATTAGATATGACACTAATCCACATCAAATATTCCTCGTGGATGTGCCATCATAGATGCCATGTTATAATCTAACAATCTAAAGTAGCCTTTTAAACTAGTTGGGAAGCTTTTAATCACACTTAGTTTCCTAAATCCCAATCCATCAACATTCAACTTCCTAGCACCCATGTAAACTATTTTAGACACCTTTTACCAAACATCATCCTATTTAATCTATAAATTCAAACACAAGACACTTGAATTCTTGATCCACACTCAAACTTACACCCATATCAAACCCTTTAACCCTCGTTCTAAATGACATAACAATTGGACAATCATTGCTTGATTACAAATTAACAGCATTATAATTCATAAACAAAGTATACTCAGGTACAATCCAACATTTCAATTCATACCAAGATTATCCAATAATTATAGCTTCAAACACCCACAAAAAATCACAAGTGCAGCACACATTAAACAACTAATTAAAGACAATTCATCAAAAATTATCTAACAAACTAGCAAATAACATCAATACATATTAAAAAAGGGAATTTAAAGCGCGATAAAAAGAAGAATGAACCTGTGCATTGGTCCAAGCACTGCCAATAGTAACAGGGCCACGATTCTGGATCAAATTGAAGAGATTTTGAGCAATGGAGGTAGCTTCAGAGTAGGGAACTTTAGGGTTTATCTTCCTCAGATTTGCAGCTCGTTTCTTCGACATATATCTCACACATTGCATCATCATTGAGCTACCACCCCCGATTTCTCCTCCTCCATTGCTGCTGCTCCAAACCCTCCTCAACATTTCTTCTTCTCTCTCCTTCAATCGAATTTAATTTATGAAAAATTGGGGAAAAAGTGATTCATATGATCTGCGTCGTCTTGATTTTGAAACTGAAAATTAGGGTTTCTGAGGGTATTAGAGTGCGACTTCTTCAAGTATTCCGTCTTAGTAAGAGTAACAACTAGTAGAAGAATCAGTGAATCACACGATCCATTTAGGCTATGCTTTTAGTTCATTTTTTGTGATATATTTTAATTTTATTTTTTTTTATGTAATTAATTTGTCTGATTTGACTAAATTTTGATCTATTATACTGATTTTGACCCTATTAAATACAAAATATGTATTTATGTATTTTACAAGTACGTAATGTTCATATTTTAAAGCTATTAGGTAACCTTTTTTTTTTTTTTTAACCACGAAATCAAACATTTTTTTATAAATAAAAAAACACGTATAAAACAATAAGGTCTAATCTGAAATAAGTAACAAGGTACTTAAATAGGGTGAACCAAACATAGTGTTATTCTTTGAGCAAATTTGATTTCGCCACTTACCCCAAAAGCACCATATTGTTGATTTTTTATTTTTTTATTTTTAATGTTAAGAAGACGGACCTTGACGACACATAGGTATTGCGAGGCCGGTGCTAAGGAGTAAGGAGGAAGGTTAAGAAGTATTTGCATGCCAAACACTTGTGAATACCGGGGGGTATGAGAATCCTTCCATCCAAAACACTCTCACTTAACAAGATTTAAATCTTATACCCTTAGAATATGAGGTAAGAACATTTCTTAAGTCAACCAAAATTTGTTTGGTATACTTGTATATATTATTTTGGGAAATTCTACATGGTGGCCTCATGGTTTTGAGTTTTCTGCGTGGAAGACGAACTTTTTTCCAACTCTTTTCAGTGGCAGCAAGGTTTAGAAAAATCTACATAGTGACCTTTTTTAGGTTTATGGCTAACCTTTTTAGTTAAAATGGTTAACCTTTTATTTTATTTTTTATGAAAAAATTATTTAAATTATATTTTAAAATAATAAAATTTAAAAAAAAAATTCCCAGTCACCTATCCTTGCAGGAATCCGGCCACCCCCGACCACCGAAACCACCTTCAGCCCAACCCCCTGACCACCGAAACCACCAACACTGGCCGGCCGGCCTTCCACAACCCCACCTAACCTAGCCCCGACCCCTAAAACCGCCACCCCGATCCCCAAAACAACTACAAAGTCCAACGAAACCACCGCGAAACCCTAAATTCAGATGCTAGCACCTCTTTTCCTTCACGCAAGCTCTCTCTTTTCCCATAGGCTAGGGTTTCATTGGGTTTTGAGGGTGGATCGGCGCACGATTTCACGGTGATAGAAAGGGAGGGCGGTGGTTTCGCGGCGGATTCGAAGATGATGGGTCGGGATTTGTGGGTTTGTTTCAAGTATGGGGGTGGGAGGGAAGGCGGTTTTGAGGGTGGTGCTGGGGAGAGGAGCTGTTTCTGGTGTGGCTGGCAGGGTTGAGGTGGTTTTCGGGGAGTTCGTGATGGATGTGGAGGTAGAGGAGGTTCATGGGGTGGTTGGCTGGGTTGGGGTGGTTTTTTGTTTTTTAAATTTTTTTTTATTATTTTAAAATATAATTTAAATAATTTTTTAATAAAAAAATAAAAGGTTAACCATTTTAACTAAAAAGGTTAGCCATAAACCTGAAAAAGGTCACTATGTAGATTTTTCTAAACCTTGGTGCCACTTAAGAGAGTTGGAAAAAAGTTCGTCTTCCATGTAGAAAACTCAAAACCATGAGGCCACCATGTAGAATTTCCCTATTATTTTTGAATTATGAATTTTAGTGATAAGTGGATATAATTAAAATAGTTGGTCCAAGATATATTTAACGATAAGTAAATATAATTTAAAAAAATTTAAAATAACACAATTCGATTATTTATGAAAACAAGCAATTACTCGTATTTGCTTAAATAAGTACGTATATCTAAACATAACTTAAGTAGGTTAGTGGTTAACAAGCAAGACTTGCTCTAGTAGAATATCTTGCATATCATAACCGCGAGTTTATGGGATCAAACCCTCACTAAGAGGTACTTGATTGTGGGAATGTGTCTGTCTGGTCGGGTTCAATAGCATCAGATGGGATTAGGTTGAGTCTAATCTATATGAGTATTAAAACTCCAAGGCAAAGAGTGGCATTCAGTCAAGTGTAACTTTTTTTGTTTCATTCACCACATCATTTCTCTTCAACTTATAAACTTGCCACATAAGCGATTATATGTTAATGATGTATCAATCATTAGTAAAATAATAAAAATATCCTCCCAATTCAAAGTTTGTAATCGGCATTATTTATGATAGTCTTAATTATTGGTCTTAATTAATAATTGAACAATTATATTGTTATTGAATTGCTTGAATTGGAGTCGTTTGTAAATATTGTAACCGATGATCAATTGTCAATCAATTGGAATTCTACAACTGAATAATGAATGGGTGAGTAATTAATGAGTAATTAGTTTCATCTCTATAAATAATTAAACCCTAAGTATAATTGTTGGAAACGATTCACTGACCCTCTTGGAACAAGTTTTTTAGGTGAGTTTTATTTTTTTATTTTTTTTCATGTTTTTATACGTTTATCAATGCAAATAAACTTTAGCGTATATTGGTTTTACACTTCTTTTACAAGCATTTTGGCTTTAATAGTTGCGTAATAATATGTATGAATTAGCTATTGAGTATATTTTAGTCTCAGATTCATTGATTAGCTCAATAGCTAATTGGATGTAAAATATTCATATAAAGCTCTCAAGGTTAGTGTATAAACTTCACTATATATATATACTATGTAGCTAAATGCTTATTATTGTCATTATTAGTCTTATTTTGTGGGTACTATTAGTACATCAAATAATTTGTTGGGAGGGTAGAGATATATTAAAGAGTCAAATCACAGATTTAGGTTTAATTTGGAAATATATAATATTGGAGTACATCACTATGACTCATAGTTGTAAACGATTCAATAAATAATTGTTCAATCATGTATTTCTTTTTAGGTGTTCATTTGTAAACAAAGCTAAATTTTTATTCTAACTCCTAAGCAAAGGAAAATCTAGCTCAACAACCACCATTTTGTATATAGCATTACATTATATGTCTTGATGAAATTAACAACTTTAAAATTATTATATACATATAAATATATAATGCATATAATGGCCCGGGACATCGTCCGGATCATACACCATTTACTTGAGTTATACTAAATTGTTATGCGCGTATAAATTAATAATCTAAATCAAATTATTTTAAAAATGGATTTGATGAGGTTAGATCGAGTCGGGTGAAATGAATTCCTTTATTAATTTTATTTATTTTTTTTTTTTTTTAGGCATGGTTTCCTTTATTACCTTCCCCACTCCCTAAAGGCCCAAGTAGGTTCGTGGTTCTCTACACTTCAATTTAAAATTTTTTAATTTTATCTATTTGGTGGGCATTAATTTTTTTTTTTTGACGAGTAATTATTTAAGACAACCAACCATACATGAAAATGAAAAGAAAACGAACGGTCCACAATCATAGATTTCCCACTTTTTTTTTTCCTGTTGGAAGAATGATGAAGAAACGAACATCCCAAATCAGCCAATATGAACACACATAACGTCGAAAAAACTTACCAAAAATAGAAAGAAATTAAGAGGAGAGAGAAAATGAAGAACAAAGGAGGTGAAACCTCGCAATCCCGCAACTCGCCCTCTGACTCACCTTCTGCGCCACCGACTCGCACCACGAGCTCAAATTCCGACGCACCTTTGAGGCGCAGAAACGCGCCATTTTTGATCGTTTGCAGATGTTTCAGCCTTATTACCGCCATATCTGCTATTCTCTGTATTGCCGTCAATATTCTCTCTGCTGTTCGATCCTTCAAGCATGGAGCTGATGTATTTAATTATGCTTTTTATTTGTCGGATTTTGGTGTATTGTTGGTTGATTTAGGGTTTTTGATATGATTTCAATTTTTTTTAGGTTTTTGATGGGATTTTTCGATGTTATGCGGTTGTGCTAGCGATTTTGGTGGTTTTGGCTGAGACTGAGTGGAGTCTCATCTTCAAATTCTGGAAGGTATGATTCCTGTTTTTATTGGATTCTAGTTGGATAAATTTCTTTGTTTTAATGGATTTTAATTGCTTTATCGAATTGTTTCAATTATAATTGAATTTGAGCTTATCTTTTTACTTCTTTATGATAAGTTTCCGGGTTTTGGATTGGCAAGAATTGAGCTCAATGTAATACTTGTAAGTATATCTAATAGCTCACCAAGCTAGGTACAAACGAGTGTTGGGTATATACAAGTATATTATTAAAGGTTATGTAGCTGTCTTCTTGGAGGTATTAAGTTATAATTATCATCAATACAAGTTCAATGAAGATATAGCAAGCAAGTCAAATCTATAAAAAAATTATTTGCTTCAAATTTGTTTAGGGGGGGGGGGATGCGCGTTGTTTGTGCATTCATCATAGACATAGTGCAATAGTTGATATGAAGTAGCGTAAATTGTGGAGCGACTGCCTTCTACAATTACATTGTCACGCACTTACGCATGCTCTACTTTCCATTTTTCTCCTTTCCTTTCCAGTTCCCAAATATTTTAGCATGTGTGAGCAATTTTGCTGATGTGTTTGGTACTCAGCAAGTCAGCAGTCAACTTGTATTGCACAGCCAAATTATCCTGCTTGTGTTTGCAATACTTAAATGGCTGTCTTGGTTGTCTACAGTTGTCATATATTTGGTCGCATACTTTTTGTGTGTGTTTGTTTAGACTTGAAAGCTAATTTCTGGTGTTTGCTGCAGGTGTTGGAGTATTGGCCTGGCAGAAGCATGTTACAAATCTTGTATGTATACTAACAACCTAGACTATCGAATTCATCTATTCTAAACTTATAGAAATTTTAGCATTTTGTTTTCATCAACATAAGATTGACAAGGACTATGAATACAAAGGCAGCATGAAATCGACTTATTTGTCAGAGTATACGCTATGACTTACGTAGGAATTCAAGTTTCATTCACTAGTTTCAGAAAGCCTTTTTAATTTCTGGAACTCTACTACTGTCTGTGTCACTCTACTAACATGCTGGTGTAGGCACACTAGAAGCTGTTTTAATGCATTATTTACCACTAACAATGAATATGAACTTAACATCCCTGGCCTCATTGATTGTTTTGTATAGTGTTGCTGTTATGACTAGGGCATTCTCTGACTTTATTGGCAAGCAACGTGATATAGTTCTACTTCAGAGTATAGCAAGCTATCTGCTTCTTTCATGCGGTGCTGTTTATCTTGTATCGGTAAGATCAAGATGAGTTTTCCCCTTTTCATAATGTAATTGCTATTATGTGTGTAAGGGTATGTTTGGAGAATATTGTGCTTGGTCACAAGATTGTTTTTATACTTGAACGAAATAATTATTATCTATTGGTGTAATTACCATGGCAATTAATTTGATAAATGTGTTGATGAGAGACTTCATTATAGTATGTTGACAGAGTTTGGACTCTTTAGAACTGTACAAAAAGTGCACGATGAGGACCTTTAGCTAATCAATAGCGTCAATATTAAACTTTTATTTACTTATATATTTAGATACAAGGATTTTGTTTATTCAAGGATTGTTCAATGACAATTTATTTCATGTTGCTTCAAATGAACAATATTTCAGGGAATCCTTTGCATAGGTATTCTGAAGCGCTCCCTAGAACAGAAAGAAATTTCAAGGGATCAAGCAGTTAAGGATCTACAGGTAATTTAAATGCCCGCTGTCTAGTTTCTATAATTTTAGATTTATATGGTTAATTGGATTGGTTGATTCGTTTGAAGGTTTTGATTATGATTACCTTAGGTATTGCTTCTCTAATTTGCTATATATCATGGCTCCTTATCTGTGAAAACAGTACTCACAATGTAGCTAGAGGTAGCTAACTAACATCAACTTCTTCATTAATCACACCAATTAATTAAAATCCATCCACCTTTTGTCTTTCATAATAGGGATGCATAATTTTCCTTGCAAAGGCTGAAAAAGGAAGATAAAAGTCTAAGGAGCATGATAGAAATTTCAATTCAATTAAATTAAGCATATAATCAACCAAGTTTTTGGCACATCATTGATGTTGAAGATTTAACCAACATCAAATGAAAGAAAACATAAAAGAGGAGCATACCACTTTTTGGCAAATCATTGACATTGAAGTTTTAACCAATATCAATGAACGAAAACATAAAAAGAGGAGCATACAACTTTTTGGCAAATCATTGACGTTGAAGTTTTAACCAATTCAATTTCCTCACTTAAATTCTTCTGAAGCTAACATTTACTACAAATTAAGTATGTTGAGTATACGGAGTACATTATTATGAAAGATTAAACTCATAATCCAGTAAAACTATAACACATTATCATTAAACTTTCTAAGAACCGCCTTTAGGTCCTTCCTTCACTTATCAAGCTTCAAGCCCAATCACCATGACTTCCACAGGGGCTAGCCCCAAAGGATAATAACAATTTCCACAGCTGTAACTCCTATATGATCTTTCTTGTTATTGGCTGAAATTGATGTTTATTTGGCTAGTTTTATCAGTTTTGTCGGTCACCCGTTCTTGCATTATAATTGAAAAGCACCAACTATGATAGGTGAAATTCAAGATTGTGCTGTTATAAATTGTAATTTGCCTTTTAACTCTCATTTATCAATCTTTCTACATTATTGCCAAAAAGCTTATAAACGTTAGCAGTGCATATAAATTGTACTGTATTTGGAGGAATAGTAGTTTCCTAGAGGAGCATGGATTTTCAGGACCAGGAGTGGGTCACAGTCAATGTTACATCTCTAATGGTCAATGGTCATTTGTTCATAGAATTATAGCTAGCAGTGAGGTCTGAGTTGCCTAAGAATTATGCTAGATGGAGAAATGTCTTGCAACATACCGAGTCCCTTGCTCAATAATATCTCCAAGGATGCTTTCATTGAGAATGGCAGATGAGAGTTTAGAGCTGTTGTGACAGGATTGATAGGCTCTTAAATTTCTACTAGTAGTAAAGTGGTCTCCATGTTGACTAGTAGTACTCTAGTCATTTTTTTGTAATTAGATTTATTTATATTTGGTAATCGAGCCTAGATCACATTCAATCAGAGCTTTTATCTAATTGTACTCTTTGTCCTCAGTGCTAAGCTGTTTTAAGTTTTAGAATTGGGTTATGATTTAGAATTGACATTTGAGTTACTCTGAACAGCATATTTAGATTCTTAAAGGAGATATATTGAATAATTTCCAAGTTTAACATAGCCAAACATAATTTTTTGGATAAGTGCGAAGTGAATGCTTACTGAATGACCGAATGTTGGTATCTGTTACAAATACCATTGGGCCAGCTTAGTCTATGATTGATGTGATTGTTGTCAAGTCAACTTTTTCTGTCTACTCCCTTCTTTTCGGGATTTTGAGATGGGTTGTTTATTTTCTTTCAATTTGATTTAGTCCCTAGAATAAATTGTTGAGTGAGAATCTTGATACTGTTAAGTCTGTTACACTGACTTTTCCCCCGTTGCAGGAGCTGGAGAAGAAGCGGCAGGAGCTTGAAGCTTTGTTAATTGAAGAAGAACACATTTGATAGAGAATTCATATGTTGGTTTGTCACAGTTCCTTATCTGGAATTCTGGATTTTCTCCGGAATATCGAGGAAGACAAGCTTGTAACTGACCATTTTAATCAAAACAATTGTACAGGAAGACAAGCCTTGAAGCTTTAGCACTTAGTAGAACCTCTCTCTTCTTTTTTTTTTTTTTTTTTTTTTTTTTTTTTTTGAGGCCTTATATAGTCGTATTTTTTCTTTTTTTTACATTCTCGAATTTTGTGGATAAAGAGTGTAGCTGATTGAAAGAATCTGTAACCAATGTATGTAGTACTTCTTAAAACTGGAAAAGTACGTTACTTCTCCATTTTACTCGTAGTATATTTGCATTTTCGCACAAGTGCACAACTGTGATGAAGTTTGGGCCAATCTTTTTGATAATTTCTGGTGATCTTCATTTTCGCACTAGTGCACAAGGCTTATTGTGACAATTTCCATCATACGGAGTACATTTTTTTGACAACCAAAATAACAGTACTCGTAGACTCACAGTTTAGTGAGGCCTTTCTTGCCATTGTGACTAAATTATGAGCCTCAGCTATTGTATCTCATATTTTCATCCCATTAGACCCAAGCTACTTATGTTCGATATATTTACAAAGACAAAGTCTACTTTCAACATGACAATTTCTGGTGATCTTCATTCAATTAAGGACATGCCTCGTCTTTCCAAGGAATGGGTGTGTTCATTTTAAAGACCATAAGAAAAAATAATACTCCATACAAGTAGTAAACTACTCCGTAGAAATTAGCAAAAATCCCTTGGATACACATTACCACCTGGTGTGTACTCAAATTCAGTGTAATCAAAATCAGATAATGCTACTGTTTAAAAATATTGGATAACTTATCCAAAACAATGATGCAATGAACTATATATGAAGTATATACCCATTGTAATTAAATGTACTCCGTATAACCATCAATATATGTGTTTTAATATTGAACAAATCATCCATTTTAATACTTCATATTAGGTTACGAGTCACATTTCTACTTACTACGTAAATAAAATACTCCGTATTAAATAAAATAGAGAGTATAATCAAGTCGTCAAATATCCTCATAAATTATACAGAGTAATTATTTTTTTTTAAAACACTCATAAATTATAAATTTAAAAATTTCTCTTCTTTCTCTCACCTTTTTTTTTTTTTTTTTTTTTTTTTTTTTTTTTTTTCTTTTTTTTGGGTTTAAAATACATTATTTGGAAGTTATAGCCGTACTCAAAATTTAAAACAAACGCTCCCGCTCTCTCTCTTTCTCCTCAAACTCAAATCTCTCTGTGTGGTCACCCAGATTCACCACTACGCTTTGCTTCTCCCAGGTTCTCTTTATATCTCTTGCGTTTTTTCTTTTAATTTCTCTGTAATTATGCTCACAAAAAACCCTAATCTTCTTACTGCATTGTTTATTTATTGAGTTTAATTTGATTTATTCCTGTATTTCATCTTCACTTTGTGCTTTATAATTAGTAAATTCTTGTTTTGGATTTGTTGTTTATAAATGATTTTTAAAGGTCACAAATTTATATTATGCTGATTAAATCTAGGGTTTTTAATTTTGGGGGATCTAATAAAAGAGTAAGGGTTTGATTTTTCATAAAAATGTGGGGAAGTTGATAGTGGATTTTTACGACGATGAATGATGAAATCTTTGAAAGTTTAGTCCTTTGTAGTGCACATAATTAAAGAAATATTAGCCAATTTTTTTTTATTTATTCTTCTTTTTTAAAAAAATTTATCCGAAGGGAATGATTCTTCATTTCTTCATGTTGAATGATGTTTGGCCAATTGACAAATTTATACCAGGGATAGGATCACAAGATATATATAGCATTTGTACTGTCAGTCTATCATGTAATGCGACAATACTATAGACGGAATTTGATCTGAAGTCCTAAATACAGAGTACTACCCAAAGACTTACCTCTACTGCGAATTGTAGTTGTATGTTTGTGTTTTTCAATTTTCTTGGTCCCCTTAGAACCTCACCTTTTTTTTAGCTGAACATCAAGTAGCATTGTTTGTTTCTCTTAGATACCCTACTTTGCATACAATTTTCAAATGAATTTTGTAACCAAGATTAGTTTATACAAGCCATTATCAATGAGATGAGGCTCATTTACCTCATGTTGTTAGGTCTTTTTAATTGTTCCTCGATTTCTTTCTTCGTTCCTTTCGTGTTTGTGAGTGCATTTCTGTCAGTGTGGTGCACTTACGCACACAAATGAGCGCACATATATGCTAGCAAAATCAATTCATGATTATTTTGTTGTACTGCTCACTTGCCTAGCAACTGGCAGTAGCTTCTTTGCTTGTCTGTTTGTTTGTCTATGATATCTTGATTTAGTATTCCCTTGTCTAGCAGCAGCTCGTTAGTTGTTTTTTGATTCAAAAAACAAAATAATAATACCCTTCTCTCTTACTTTGCCAGACATATAATGTGGTTATTTGTTAATCAACTCAGGTTAATCATTATCATTAGTACATTACTGAAGCGGAAATTGGAGCAGTTCAATTTAATCAAAGCTAAATGGATGGAGTGTACAAGGAATTGGAAGAATCAAAAGCAGAATTAGAGAGGCTGAAGGAAGAATATCGAGTCAAAGCTGAACTTTCTGAGAGTCTAAGGAGAGCTCACTCAGACCAACAAGCGAAAAGTCAAGAAGCAAAGTTGCAGATTGATAAGCAAGCAAAGGAACTGAATGACAAATCAGAGGAGTTGGCTGAGTTGAGACAGCTTTATGGAGAGGTCAAATCCAAATTGCATGAAGTGGAATCATCACTTAAGCAAGTCAGTTCTGTGAATGACAAAATTCGGATGGATTCTGGTGAGAAAGTGCAAAAGTTGGAAGGGGAAAACAGAAAATTGGTGTCAGCTTTAGAGGAAGCAACAGGAAGAAATGATGAATTGGAGAAGAAGCTTTGTGCTTGCAGTAAAGAGATTGAAGGTTTGAAAGCCCTTCTATCAGAATCACACCGGAAGCTCTCTGAAGCAGAAGAAAAAGCCAAAGCAGGAAGAGAATTGATGCACCGAGAGGAAGTTATATCAAAATTGGAGGAGCAAAGCATGAGTGTCCAAGATCAACTGAAATGGAAGAAAGAGCAGTTCCAACATCTTGAAGAAGCTCACAGGCGACTTCAAGACCTGTTCCAGTCAAGCAAGAAGGAGTGGGCATCTGAAAAATCGAATATGTTGGATGAGATGACAGCATTGCAGTTCAAATTGGATTCTCAAACTAGGATCACCGAAAGCCTTGAAACCCAGCTAAGGATGTGCAACCAAGCTCTGGCACATGAAGAAAGCCGAAGGAAGGCATTGGACATTCAATTGTCAGAATCAAAACAGCGCTTTGAAAATGTTTTATCAGAGTATGAGGATGTAAAAGAAAAGTTTGAAAGCCTCAGCACAAAACGTGATGAAGATATAGCAGTTTTGAGGAACTCTCTTGGGACAAAAGAGATACTATTGAAGGAGATGGAGTACAGGACTACTCACCTTGAGCAAGAGAACAAGGAGCTCCTTGGATCTTTAAAAGAGCTACAGGAAGCTCAAATTAACAAGAGAAAAGTGGACCCATCTCTCAATAAGATTCGCAACAAGCTGAAAGATTTGGAGCAGGTGCACGGCAATTGTTCTTTGGCTTTGAAGGAAAAAGAAGCTGAATGGACATATAAGATGGAGAAGCTGATCGAAGATACAAAACGTTATGAATTTGAGCTAAAGAGGCAAGGTGAACAGCTAGAGCAACTGAAGATGCAATTGAATGATTGTCACTCTGCAATGGAGGTTTCAGGTGAAGAAACATCCATTCTGCTCTTGATGATGAAGTCAGAACTTTCTGATGCTTACTCTAAGCTCTTCAAGTCAGAGGATCAGATTAAAGCATTCAACAGGGAAAAAGGAGAGAAGATTGCAGTTTCTGCTCAGCGTTTAGAGATGGGAGACTGCTCTTCTGCAAAAGCCAAAGCTCGTGGGGTGCAGGCGCATGAGGAGATTGCTTTGATGGCAGAAAAGCTGGAATCAATAAAGCTATTGGAAGAGCGTAGTAACTTTTTGGAATGCGGTCTTGCAGAGCACAAAAAGAAACTTGAAGAGTCATCAAACTGCCAACTTTACTTGAAAGAACAAGTTAGCCAGATGGAGGTTGCTCTCAAAAATCTTTCCACTGCTCTAGAAAAGTCGAATTCTGAATTGGCAGCAAAGATAAGTGAGGCTACACAAACAGAGATGGAACTGCAATTATGGAAATCTAAAGCAGAAAGCTTTAGAACTTGCCTTGAACAAAGCCAGGAGGCCTTCAAGCAAATGGAGAAGTCCCTTCTCGAACAAGTTGAGACAGAACAATGTCTTAAAAAAGAGAACAGTGCTTTTCAAAGCAAATTGAAAGAAGAAGAGCAGAAAATTATGGATCTCCAGCAAAAGATTGATTCTCTTGATCAAAAGTTGATGCAAAAAGAAGCAGCTACAGAGGCAATGAAATTGGAGGTGGTAGAAGCTTACAAGAAAGGCGAGCACTATGTCAAAATCCTAAAAGAAAGGGATGCCATAGTTGAAAACCTTCAAAAAGAGATAGAAGCAGTGGAAGAACAATCCATGAGAAGGGAATCAGAAGCAGCTAAATCTGCCAGGCTAGAAGCAGAGTACAAGTACGAACTTGAAAAGGAAGCACTGTGTAAGACCATCACAGCAGAAAGGGATGCTGCAGTTAAGTACCTTCAAAAAGAGATTGAAGCATTGGAGGAACAATCCGTGAGAAGGGAATCAATAGCAGCTGAATCTGCCAGGCTACAAGCAAAGAACGAGTATGAACTTGAAAAGAAAGAATTGTTTAGGACCATCACAGAAGAAAAGGATGAGCAGATAAGGTGTATCCAGAGTTTTGCTTCATCTTTACAACAGGATTTCATGGAATTGGATCTCTGTACCTTCTCACAAGGTATAGAAAACATGGTTAAGATTGTTGCACTTCAAGATGCTTTAGAGAAGTCTGAATCCCACATGAAGACAGAAGTGAAAATGAAGAATGATGCAATTGAAGGACTGAAAAAAGAGGTCAGTACTCTGCATGGAAGGATTTTGCTTCAAGAGGAGTCTTTACTTCACTCAAAACAATCAGCTAAAGAGCTTGAAGCTCAGTTAGAGTTTAAGAAGCTGGACTCCGAGAAATTGTCAAACAAGTTAAAGGAGGAGCAGGATAAGTGGAAAGAACTCATGGAAGAACTCAAACAAGAGAAAGAGGTTGCTACAACTAACGTCAAAAGGCTGTCTTCTGAAAGGGATAACCTGCTCATGTACTCTGAAGAAATCTGCGAGCAAGTTGGCTATTTTTGTTCAGAAGATGTAAAGCTTGAGGGAATGTTGAGAAAATTGTTGCAGACCTCTGATTTAGATGGTATTTTGACATCAGTTGATGACCTTGATGTAATATCAAATAGAATTTCTGACCCTGTGCTTATAGACATGAAGAAGGAAGTCGAAGCAACCCGTGATAGATCACCACTACGTGAGATTAACCATTAGTAGCTTCTGATACGCAATTTTTAAGTCATTCTTTCAATGCCTTATCTGTATAACAAGTTATTGGATAGTTGTTGTCAGACACTTAATGGTAACAAGAATATGTTGTTTTTCACTTCTATCAATATTTGAACGAGAATTTTACAATTAAATGAATGCATCTGTACTTGTCGCTAAATCAAATTTGCTAGTAATTAAAGCAAGCCACAACATAAACAACTACAAGAGCTCTGGAAAAATTGCAAGGCTTTGTCACAGACGCTCTATCCATTTGAAATCATTGCTCGCATTTTACAAATAGTAGCGGACTTTGCAGTATAGTAGCATAGTTGTTTTCTTCTGGTCAAATAATATAATCGCATCCCTTTGAAACAAAAAATAATACCAGTACTTTATAGCAATATCAAGTCACAAATCAATATCGTCAAGATGTCAATGCTGTAAGTTGATGCAAAATGACAGCCCCAATTCTCTTATCTGCCTTCCCCTTCTATTAAATCTGAGGGTTGGATTTAGCTCACTTAGAACAGACAATGTCACTTCTTCTTGTTCTTTCCAGACGATCCTGCTTTTTCAGATGCCTTTGATTTTTGAGAAAACTCCACCAAACCTTGTCGAAATGCTTGCTGATTAACCCCATTCTCAACTAATATGCTTGTCGCACCCATATTATTAATCTGGATTCAACAATAAACTAATAGCTATGAGGATAGGGAACATGAAGAAACCTGAATTACAAAATAACTTTGATCATATAATGTACAAAGAAGTGAGTAAAAGAATGAGATGAGGCAAAAACTTTACCGCTTTAATGTTCCTATCTTCATCATCAAAGAAAAGCATGTCAGTGTAGGGAATTTTTGTCCTCCTATGAATTCTCTGAAAGTGTTCTGTCTTGTGTGTCCAACTGGAAAAAATTTCCTAGGTTAACAGAGGAGAATTCTATTAAATTAGTTGTGAGAAAGAGCACATAAGCTCCTAGCAATTTATCTTCGACCATTTGAATCAGACAAGTATACAATGAACATAATATTGAAGACGGAAGTGGACAAAAATCTTACGTCATTCTCACCTGAGCAACAAACATTGACTGGATGCCTAACTTGTCAAGAAATGTCTTGGCTATGTCAGGAGTTGGTGATCTAGAAGCAATAGCAACATCAATACCCTTGTCCTTCAGCGCATACAATATACCTTTTACATGAGGATACAATGATGGCATTTCTCTTTTGGAGTGGCATTCACTGTGATAAAAGTTAGAAAAAAATTACTAAATGTCTATCTAATTTTTAAAATTTCAACACCGAGCATGCACATAATCACAAAACTAGGACATTAAAAGAAATTTACATTGATACATAGTCATCTTTATCCTCCACCCCCAAGATAAAACCCTGTATATGCTGTACTATTCTGATCTGACAAGAGATATAGAATGCTAAAATGAGAAAAAAGATACAGGTCTGAAAGAGAAGCAGAAGGGCATTATGCAAAGGAAACTAACGCCTCACTGAAATACTTCGTATTATTTAGTGTCTTAGTGAGATATTTTTTCTATTGCACGAAAATGAAAAAGTTTGCACAATGGCTATCTTTCATTCTTGAATGTAGTTACTTCTTATATTTTACATATCAAATATCAAAGGTGAAAACAAACCAAGAGGCAAAAACTAGGACAGAAAAATGTCATGCATATATTTCTAGAATTAAGGTTTAACCAATACCATACAAGGCGAAAATACAAATCAAGCAATTACTTGATAGTACTGTAAGAGACCTCTCCAAACCAGGAATAGAATTTATTTATAGCTTATCGAATTCCAAGTTGCCAATTGCCCTAACAAAATTATCTTCAATATTACATTCTTTAGTCAAAAGAAATGGAGAATGCTTATTTCTTTGCCCCCCTTTCCCCAATCTCTCTTTCCTTCTGTCTGTTAGTGTCACCCACTAGGAAACAATTTATTGAGAAGCCAATGGAGAATTACAAACCTTAGCTGGAGCTTCTAACATCATTGTCATTTCATGATTCGAAAGCTAGGTTATCCTTTACCGTTTCAATTGCTAACCACATTAAACTTTCACACTCTACGCCCCCGCCCCCCCCCCCCAAAAAAAAAAAGAATAATAAAAAAAAATAGCAAGTTATAAAACGGCTAGGCATGACATAAACAGTCTTAAAAGTTGCAGGAACCAGTAGAACTATTAACTAATCTTACTAGTCACATGAACCAACTGACCCACAACTCCACAAGAACCTTCCTATATTTCGTTTTCGACCAAAACACGTTTAAATGTGATCAGTTTTAGCATTCCTTAATCTGAAGGGTTTGCATCCTAGGAAAGTTGAGTTGTATAGTTGTTATGGAGGAGTATAAACAAAGGGACACCAAGTACTCATTTACATACTTTGATTAGGGTATTAGGGGTGAACAGCGTTAATTTAGTACGTGTAGTAAGATATCGAGCCAATCAAGGTGCCATTAGCAATGACAACATTAGCCTAGGCCAGGCCACACTCCAATATGCAAATTTTAATACATATACTACCTCCGCTAAGAAATTATTGCACCATTCTGACTCCGTGCAGGACTGCTAGGTTCCTATATCAAATTTAACCCGTCTTTTACTAATAAATATAAATAATAATGTTATCATACAAAAAGTTCATCACTTTCCTATCAGAGTAACATTCAACTTCTCAGATTATATTTCTCTAAAATGAAACAAACCTATGAAACAATAAAAATTTGGAAAAAAATGAAGCAACAATATCAGATTGTCAGGAATTTAACAATTTGCAAGATATCACCAACATTCCCTAGATTTCCAATAATATGATAATAAGAACTCAAATTAAAAATAAAATGAGGGAATCAATGCATAGAGAAAGAATTATAACTAAAATTGAGAAATTATAGAACAAAATCCTTAATTTGAGTTATTTGTAATCCCATAATTTGATTTTGCGATGAAAATCATAAGAGAATAAATTATAAAACAAAAAAAGTGAAGAAAGTATACCAGTAGAAAGGCCAGATAGTATAATCGAGATCAAAGACAACCAATTTGGGAAGAACTTGGAACAAATTTATGGTTTGAAGAACTTCTGTTTTGACCCTTTCATCTCCCATGGCTATCTCTGAGTCTCTCTCTTCTTCCCCAATTTTCTGGGCTTACTTCATACGCTCAACCTCCAAAATGGTAGGTCGTCAAATGTTAATCTGTATAGTGTATTGGATGGATAAATGTTTGTTAGATGACTTTTTCGGCTTTATTTGTTATGGATTTTTTTATTGAGTTATCTTGTGTGATCGAAATTTTTTAACTTTATATACTCCTTATAAAAGGTGGGTAATTATTTCTAATTGCGGAATTAAGATCCCATAAAAAAAATAGAGATAATTAGAAATTTGGTTTTTTTTTTTTTTTGTTTTTGTTATTGTTTTTGTTGTTGTTGTTGTTGTTTAGAGAGACACACGGGCACGGGTGATGAGAATCGATTTCAGGATCGCCTGAAATCAGAAAGGAAGCTCTATCCTTCACTCTCAAATTTGGACACGTTTAGTTACACATACTCATATTATAAGTTTGCAAGTGACAACCACAATGTATTGAAAGAGGGTATTATGGCAAAAAGGTTTTCTAGTCGATTTTTTAATTTAAGCTTGTATAAAGAATGGACCTAACTTACTCAAAATTGAGTCAATACAATTAAATCGTACCTAGTGGCCCCATGAGCTATATTTGACATGAGCTATATTTGAGTAAAAATTTCTTGGAAAATATTCAGTTAACAACTTAATGACATTAGTTCTTTTAAATTGAGAACAACACTTAAATCTTACACTCGAAAGCATGATGCACATTATACTCTCAAAATAGTTGCTGAGAATTTCATCCCAAATCCCACATGGAAGAAATAGCAAGGGAAGGAGCTATTTATAAAGTGATGCAATACACTAGTACAAGACCTTTGAGAAGGAGCCCAAAAACAAAATCGTGCAGGCTTGGCCCAAAGTAGACAATATTGTACTAGTGTGTGTATGAGCAAGCATCGGCGGCCCGACAAATGGTATCAGAGCCGGGCAGTTCGGTCCGGGGTGGGTGGCTGCCGTGGAGTATGTGGGGTGTTCCTCGTGTGTCCTCGAAGTTTGGTGATCTGTGCCCTTTGTGTCGAAAGTCCTCTTGATGGTGTTCAAGCTAGTGGGACCAGGGGATGTCTTGTAATCGGTGGGGTTGCCCTGTAACTCGTGGTTGGAGTGAATGGGCATGGTCTGATGGTTTGCGGTAATCCTATAACCGGTGGGGTTGCCCTGTAACTCGTGGTTGGAGCGAGTAGGCATAGTCAGGTGGTTAACGAACCATGGTTCTGATGGTAATTAAGGCGGCAGGTTCCGATAGTGCATCGGCGGTACTGAAAAGGAGGCGAGTAACAGATCGGGTTTATCGTTTGAGGGAAGGCCATGAGTGGTGATGTGGTCCTTGGTCTGAGGGAAGGATTGTTAGGAATTTTATCCCTAAGTCCCACATGAAAGAAATAGCAAGGGAAGGAGTTATTTATAAAGTGATGCTCAATACACTATTACAAGACCTTTTGGGAAGGAGCCCAAAAACAAAACCGTGCAGGCTTGGCCCAAAGCGGACAATATTGTACTGGTGTGTATATGAGCAAGCATCGGCGACCCGACAATGGCACGTAGTTCAAAGTAAAATTGCAAATAGTTCGAAAAAAAACTAATATGAATAAAAGAATACAAAGTTGTGATAAAAGGTTGTATTAACATTTTGATCAAAAGAACATGAAACAACACGTAAGATAAGGTAGTGGTATTTCTTCTATTTCTAAATAAGTGTTACTTTATTTTGAATGATATGCTCTTTAGTGAATGGGATGCATATCATGCACTCGCTTGTATGATCTAATTTATGCTTACAAAAATGTAGTACATAATAAAGTTGCAGTACATTAATTTAGCAAAGCTTAAGTTTTATACAGATACATCAAAAAAAAAATTAACACACTTTATCTAGCAAAAGGAGGAAGGACAACTGAAAAAAAATGGTAGGCAAAGCCATCTTTGAGTACTTTATGCTAGCTTTTAAACACCACAAATAGCCAATATTACTTGAGAAAACACTCATTCTTCAGGAGTAGCACTTGCAGCATTGAGGTCCACAGTGAGGTCAAGTTCCTGAGACATGTTACAGACCACATGAACAAGGAATAAACACAGTGGTTAACAATGACAATGAATTTGGTAGAACATTCACCTTTCCAGTAATTTTGCTGTACAGCGCGATCACATCCTTCACAGTAGACTCGAAGTGTGTTGTTGCATCATAACTCTGCAGGAAGTTCAATCAGTATATGTATTGCTTAATTACGTATAACTAATTAAAATTTCTTACTCTAAACAATAAGAATGCTGTTATAGTATTATACAGGTCGTCTGTCAGGTTTAGAACTTACAGTAGATATGAAGCAGCTATCAGATTCCGGCTGGTTTGTAGGCTCATATCTGTCATATGTATCGAAGAATATCTCATCTACCGGTCCAAGAAGATCGATGCCAGGCTTTAGCTCAGCCTCTGGGTTATCAGTCTCCGCTTCAGTTGTAACAAATGCAATGTGTTTCCCATTAGCAGCAACATTGTGAGTGTAGGAGCAACAGAATACATACCTGAAAAAATACCAGTTAATATTAGAATGGATTGCCAAATACTTATCTACACAAGACAATTAGGCTCCATTGTTTTCGTTTTATAAACCCTTGTCTGAATTTCTTAGCCCTAGTACAAACTTGTTTTTCCTTATTATAGAACTTATTGGCTCTTGTCAGCACTCATTTTAGTTGTGACTTGAACTTGGGTAGAAATTACTCGTATATCATAACTCTATGAGATAACAGTCATAGCACACAACATACGGCCCTGGTTATGAAAATTTTCTAGGATAGAACATAGAAGTACTACAAACTGCCTTTGCAACACAGGGAACTGGCTAGCAAAAAGTTTTCAGATTTCACATACATGTCTGATTTTCGACCAAGTTGCTTCTGTGGTAGGATCACCTGCACTGAGTGTGAATCTTTGGTTTCTGGAATTGGGTGACTCATTATACATATAGCACGCGTTACTGTTCCAACCTTACGGACCTGTTGCATTCAAAAACAGAATGCATATAGAAATTTTCATCAAGTGAACACTTAAGAATGATCAGAATATTTGCACCTAAGAAAATCAACATAATAGCATCAGTAAAGTTTGAGAGTTTGCCTTATCAGGTAGATATGATGGATCACAAACAACTTTCTTGCATTTAGCAGTTTCTCCTTCAGAGGAAACTCCAATAGCTTTCCCACTATCATCAAAGACTACCTGTCATCCAAAGCGAGTCATACTTAGTTACTGTATTGTATATTATCTTTCATGAAGACTAGATACACACAATTTTTCCACGAAATGATGTTACTTAAAGAACAAATGTTGTAGCACAATATATACCGAACAATCTGGCTTGTTGAGCATGTAGGTTCCACCATAAACTGCGCTCAAACGCGCAAATCCCTGTCAGGGAAAGCAGAGAACATCAGAGCTGTGTCAAGTGGGAGAATTCATACAAAATATCATGGCATGAAAAAAAAAGGGCTTATTTACCTGAGGCAATTCTCCAAGTCCATACAGTGGATAAATGTAAGGAGATCCTCCTTGAAATCGAGCCAAAGACTCTGCATATAACTTTCGTAACAAAAGTCCAATATAATTAGCAGCAAATTTACATTAGTCACTCAAAGTCAGAAACATTACAATTAAGTATCTGAACACAGAAATTCAAAACAAACATTCATATTGCATAAACATCAATAAGTCTAATAAGATAGCATACAACATTCAGCATAACCAAGCAAATTTTTTAACGGTAGCATCAGTTCTTAGACCGTGTAAACTGTAAAGTCAGATGAACACACGCATGACACAAATACTATACATACATATTAACCTTGCTAAGGAAAGAAGTAAGCTTCCATGAGCAGAATGAGCTTTTTAATGACAACTTGAACAGATTATTCTGAAGAACAAAAAAAGTTCTATGCAAATGTAAATCCATTATTATGTTGCTTATACATGAAAAATTAGGTCATACATACAAAATGAGTAAATTAGTGCTCGAAAAGGGACACGAGTGTCACCTTCATTCTCTTCACGAAATCTATGGCAGGTTGATCCAAGTAACTATCATCCAGATAAAGTGCCAAGGCATGACCAATGAAATCAATTGTATCATCCTCTAAGCCATATTTTCTACACCAAACAAGTAAGGAAAAAAATTAGGCAAATAAGGCGATTAAATTTGATCTTATTCGCAGACAATACTATTAACATTAGAACTACGAGTATTAATTAACATTTCCTTAGACTAATAGTTACAACTTTCAAAAGAACAGAATTAAACAACCAAAGTGATGGATGAAATATTACGAAATAAGATCTCTTGCAGTAATCTTGGTCAAGTCCAACCCTTCGTGAGACTTAGGATCATTATCTTCATAATCTTGCACATAAATGAAGAACTTTCTAGCACGCCTTTTCTCGAAAAGCCCCATCAAAGGAGATTTCAGAGCCTCAACATCTGTAGCAGGCACCTTGTAAATCTGCAAGAACCATTTAAGTTAGAATTTCGACATTTTCCTTTTAAGTAACACAACATCAGGAAAATTTTTGCATAATGTACCTTGCCCTTATTGTACACAAAGCTACCATCCACTGCCTTAAAATTAAGATATTTAGTAACATCGGTGTGGATGAGTATACGAACCAAAACTTCATTCGCCATCATGAACTACATGTAAAATGAGCGCGCTAATAAATACATATACAAAGTAACAAAGATTACGAACATGTTACATGTTTACATGTTACGAGGAATTTTCTTAGGTAGATGATCGAAATTGGTGTGCGTGTTTAATCAAAATGATGGTACGTACGTACCTTAGGTATCATGTCAACATTGTACTCTTTGCTTGGACCTAAGCTTTCCGGAGGCTTGTCATCACCCCTAAAGCGCTTCCAAAGCTATTTCAGAAGCAGTAAAGAATTAATATTGCCTAAATATAAATGTTATAGGGAAATTGCATTTTGTAAAGAAAATGTTGACTTCATTATATTCGACTTCATAATGGTACTACTAGAACTAATTTTTACTCATTTTATCATTTTAGGGAGCTCCATGTGAAGTTGTGAACAAATGAGTGAATAATGACTGAGATTGTAACACGTACATGGTACAACCTGTTATATGTGTATTATGTATAATCACGCGATTAGGGGATATTGTTAAGGTGTATGGGAAACATACCTGATTGAGATTGAGAGAAGTTGAAGCTCCTCCATAATAGTCATTCCTGTCCATATGTAAGACCTGTTTCAAGTAGTCCAAATAAAGAATTTAATTTTAAAATGTTCATGATTTTATTTAAACTTATGTTAAAGTTTTTGTATTGCTTGATCATATATATTCTGATTTGTCATCCAAAAAAGATAATTTTAATGGCTTTATAAGGTAACACCATGTCATAAAGTCACAAAGTTGATAATTTTAAAAAACTTTTGAGTTAATCAATAATAACATTAACGTCACCACAATACCTTTAAAAATGTTCCGCCTTCAATAATGTTATATACACTAAATCATACCCCTTTTTGTCTTTTAAAAATTGAAAGGCCCTTAAATAATATTATTATACATTAAGAATTTCAAATCCGCTTACATCATTACCCTGTAAAACTACAAAGAACTCCCGGAAACAATTACATTGTACCCTTCAATTACATAAAAATGCAAATCAATAATAACGATAGAGTATTAGCTGAGTTGGTCCATTAACAAATAATAACACAACTATGTAACATCGAAACTAAATTGAAGTTGAAAGGAGATAAGAGAATTACTTTAAGGCCATCAACGGAAAGAAGACCACTGAGAATGCATTCCTTAAGGCCAGTACCAAGAACAATTACATCGTACTCTTCATCCATGATTACCAATTCAGCTTTTTTCTCACTTTCAATTAATTATTAATTAAACTCAGAGAATCAATTAAAGATAGGATTAAAAGTGTTATTATGTTGTTGACTTGTTAAAGAAAAAAGAATTAAGAATTAGTAATTTGGATTAATTGATGTAATCCAAAAAACAAAGAAAGAAATGGTGTAGGAAAATAGAAGAAAAACGAGGGGTGTAACGAAAAAAGCGTTACATCATGAAAAGCTGAGGAAAATTCTCAAATACCAAGGATGACCTATCCCTTTGAATTTTGGCATCAAATCAGCCGTTTTACCACCCTTATTTTACTCTTATCTTTTAAATTTACCACCTCTAATTTGAATACCAAAGATGACCTATCCCTTTGAATGTTTGTGTATCACGTATTCTAGGTGCTACGGACCTGGAGTAGTCATGTTCGGCAAAACGTAATTGTAAAATTATTTGTTAGTCATGATAATAGATGTTAGATACGAGAGTAATTATAGTACGTTGTGAAGATTGAAAAATGTATATACGGAGTAAAAATTAGACAAGGACCTCAGCTCTAGTTGTTGTGATTTTGAGTTCATATGGGATTGATATGTATGAGTAATTAATCCAACAAGCAACCATCCCTACCTTATAAAAAGTATAAGATAACTCTGTGCTACCAACTATACTCTTAAAAATATGTACAAAAATGTGTATAAAAATGTGTATTTATATTTTTACCCTTATTAATATGTTTACTATCATTAATATATTTAATGCATTTTTTTTTCATTAAAGATATCATCACTTAATTCAAAAAAAGAAATTTGACAAAAAAAAAAACTTCTAATGCTTTATACTTCATATGTTATTATATATTATTATTATTATTTAAAAAAAAAAATTATATGTACGAAGAGACTGTTTATTAATTACCAAGAGAATGTTTATTTTACTCCTAGTAATAGTTAAAATTTGCACCCAAATGAAAAATAAATCTTTTTTAGCAAAATTCTTGTGATGGAAGTACTATTTATAATGTATATTGTCATCACATTTACATAATTTCTTCATGTCATGCAAGGTGCAATGCAAGGTTTCAAAATGAGACCATACTAATCTGATCTGCTATATGAAAAATTGTGTATGTCCTAACTCCTAATCACTATTACATCTATGAATCTATGATGCAGCTTCAGTTCACAACTGTGGTTGAAGTTTAGTAGAAACTCAAAACCAAAGATCAAATGTCACTTGCATTATTATTGTTGCCCTCTCTTTCTACATAGTACCAAACACTTAACACGCAAAACTAAACAAAATTATGGTCAAAGTTTACAATAGAGAGAACGCATTTTATTGGTATAAATATACATACACCTCACCCTTATTTTATTCCATTAAAGGGGTTGAAAAAAATACATGCAACTAATTAAGTGATGAATTCAAGGGTATTAAATAAACCCTAGTCTGAGATTAGTGTCAAAAGAAACACTATTCGGAATGTGATTATGCTCAGGAAATTGTGCTAATTGTTGCTCCGAACCCAATTTACCTTCGATGGCATTCTTAATCTGCACATATTAATTTTAATATGAGCCTTGATAAATCTGATTATTTGACAAACAAACAATTTTGAAGTGAAAGTAGTTGAACATATTCACAACATTACCTTCTGATTCAAATCCTTGTTGTTCTCAATCAATGTCTTTTCCTGGAGTTTTTTCTTTGAAATTAAATTAGTCGTAGAATAAAGTTTAAACATATTCCACTAAAGACGTACACATTTTTAATAAATCTACTAATCAAAATATATAAACAGCAATCTGCAATTATTTATGTAATTTGCCTTCTATGACTCAGCAAAATGTAAAAATTCGTGTTAATTGTAATTGGTGCATATTTTTAAGGACGTAAAGTGTGTACCGGATGAAACCTATAGGAGTATGGGTAACTTACCTACCCCAAGGTAAGCAATATCCATAGTTTTGGACAAAGTGGGGGACTTAGCTTAAAACAATAAGAACCATATATGAACTTTCCAAGTACATACACCAATTTACTCCATATAAAATGCAATTTACTCTTAGCCACAACTCCCAACGGGCAAAAACTACCAAATTCCACAAAACATGTACTCATATTCTCATAATATCTTCTTTTTGTTTTAGACTGGTCTACTACCTTCGTTTCATATTAGTTGTAACTTTGGAATATTTTATATCTCAAAAATAATACCCCAAAGTTGCAACTAATATGAAACGGGGGTAATAATTATCTTATTCATTTGCATTTGTAACCAAATAAGGCCTTAAAAATACGTGCATAGTTGTAATGTATAAAATAAATAGGTGTAAGTATAACATAGAAAGGAGGAGATCACCTTTCGTTTAAGATCTGTGATCACTCTCTGAAGCTTGTTGTTTCGGGGTTTTCTGATGTCCTGCGGGGGAGTTACAATTCCAGGACTGGTATCCTTGCGCCTGTACCTGCAAAACAACGGAGACTCCTTGTGGTGGGAGCTCCGCCTCCAACGGTCAAGTTAGTACTTGTTTGAGGAGTGATAAATGCGGAAAGTAAAGGTGGGAGATCTGGTTCCTCTAGGGGAGGAGTGATCAATGTGTTTTGGTTTTCTCTAGGTGAGAGTCATTCTGCTGAATCCCCTTTAATGAGGATTAATTAAGTATTTATAGTCTTGAGAAGCGTGCCAATTTTAGGTTTAGGTTAACCAGGGCAAATTGGGCTTCTCTCGGACTTTGGGCCTTGGTGGCCATTTTGCCTATTTGGCATATGGGAGGCCACGTGGCGTGGCCTGATTAGTCCATGTTGGACCTCTTAGGGTGACAAATGGCGGACGCTGATTGGCCCACGTGGTGGACACGTGGCAGGTCCGGATTGGTCCATTTGTCATGGGTAATTTTTACCCTAAACATTTGCCCCTCGGAAGGAGTAATTTCTCTTTCCAGGAGGGATTGCTCCTTTCGAAAGTTAGACCCTCGAAGCTTTGCTAGGTCGGCATCTTGCCTAGTTCTAATGGGAGATGGACTTGATTAACTTAGAAAATTTTGATACCTTGGGCGGTATGACATTTTCAAAGTTAATCAATCATAATAATGAGTGCCGCCGAACTAGACAGATGCCGATTCTTTGCCCCACTATGCAGATAGCCCCTGATCAGGTGGACTGTCAACTATTGCATAAGGGGTAAGCGTTTAGCATTATTCGACCATTGGCCTCTTTTGATTCAATATACTAAGTTTGGTACTTAGTTTATTTCGTTGGGGGATGGCTGGTCGTCTGCTTTGGTGGCTGCATAGAAGCAGGCGTCAGACAGGACGTCCAACCAAAGTAGCTACGCCTATTGGGTTACAGACGACAGCTTTAAGTATAGCCAACCTAGTAAGAATAGTGGTCGAGTACCTCTGTTTACCAAAAAACAGGCGGACTCCTCATACCTTTTAGGTTCCGTACTAAGGAGGGCGACTGGTTAACCTTGCGGTTAGTCAATCACTGCCTATTTTGTTTGAGTGGTAGGGAAACCAGGCGGCGGGGGCCGGATAGTCCCCTTGATTCGCCAAGTTTTTCTTGGCTATTAACTCAAAGGTTGTTAACCTAGCAGGAGTAGTGGTTGAGAGCCCCTGTTTGCTAAAAACAGGCGGGCGACTCATACCTTTTAGGCTCCATACTAAGTTTGAGAGAGTGACTATGAGTTAACATGGGAGTTACTCAGTCTCCGTCACACTCTAGCTTGAGTAGTAGAGGTACCAGGCGGCGGAGGCCGGCTGATCCCCTTGATTCGCCAATGTTTGTTGGCTATTAACCCAAGGAGTGGTTACCTAGTAGGAATAGGGGTTTGAGTGCCCCTGTTTGCCAAAAAACAGGCGGTCTACTCAAACCTGTTAGGTTCCATACCAAGTTTGAGGGAGTGCCTATGAGTTGACTTTGGTGTTACTCAGTCGCCGTCACTCCTGCTTGAGTAGTAAAGGTACCAGGCGGCGGAGGCCGGCTGAACCTTTTGATTCGCCAATGTTTGTTGGCTATTAACTCAAGAGGTACCCCCTGAATTTATCCCAAGTAATACAGGGGGTCATCCGACTCAGATGTCAACTCCTACCACTGGTTTGGTTAGTGATAGAGTTATCCTTGTCTCAAAAACGGCTACGTGGTTGCCCTTGGGGACAGTCGTATAGGTGCTGTGTAATTAGTTTATAGAGCAATGTTCCACCCAAAAGGGAGCTGCTCTCTGCGACGAATTTCATCCGGAGGGATGCCGTCGGACGCCTGCTATGATGTTGGGACAGGTCGTATTAGTTTAAAAATTGGATCAGTTGGCTTGGCGCCTGGGCTGATCATCGGGCCTGTGGCCTTGGTTAGTTCTTGGCGAACGTAGGTGCTAAGTAAGAAGAGGGCAGCCGCTTGTTTAGGCACATGGTTGGCCTGGCCCTAATCTTTTTTAGCTAAGTATAAGGGGGGTGGCTGTGTGCTTTGGAACCAGTCGGCCCTCTTCTAAGAGTAGCCGACTATATGTCCAGACGGCATGCCCCTCTAGTGATAGAGTAAAATAATCAAAGCAGAGAGTAGCCGACTATAGAGGTACCGCTGCTATACTCAATGGAGAGTAGCCGACTGTAAAGGTACAGCGGCATGCCCCTCTGATGATATAGTGATATAATCAATGGAGAGTAGCCGACTGTAAAGGTACAGGCGGCATGCCCCTCTGAATTAGTATCAAGTATTGAAATAATTTCAAGTGTTAGAGTAGATAGATCACTTAGCTCCCTTCCATGGAGGATTGATGACTCTACTTTCTTCGAATGGGGACAGGTGGTCGTGCTAAACTTGTTAATGTGGTTTGCGACCTCGCTGCTCGGCCTACACATTTGCCGCCGGTCTTTAGCCCCTTAGTGAAATTAATGAGGGTCGACTGCTTTCATAGCTACGAGACTTCGTCGTATAGGGGGCCGACTACTATTCATGCCGCCTCTCTTGCTTGATAGACTTAGGCAATATTTTTTGAGAGGATCTTATGTTTTTGTCTTATTCTCATGCATGAGAATGACAATTAGCCATACTGTTAGGCAGCATTTTTATTTTTTTTCCAATCATAATAGTGATGATGGTAGCCTAAAACAAGGCTGCAAACCCACGATAAATAATTCCATTCGGTATGCCGCTTGTTTTCCTTAGGCAAGACCTCCAATCCTCAACTTTGAGACCACGATGCTCGATACCCATGAACGCCTTGTGATTAAATGTTTCCGAAATATCAAGCTAAATATCTCGCATTTTAAGGTTCGGCTTTAAATGACCGAATTGTTCATGCGATTGTTCAGGTAGCCGCTTGTTTTCATGCTCAAGTTCGAAGCTATTACTTAAACTTGCTGTTTTACCCAAGAGCCGCCTCCTTGATTTTGCTATCAACATGAGGCGCTTGGTGAAGAAGGCTCGGATACCAAGTGGGCTTTTGTGATTTCTTGGACATGCTAGCGGTCATGTATATACAAAATGAGATATGGGTGTGGCCCATATTATTCTTGGAACGAAGCTTGGGAGCCGGTTGTTCAAACATAGGCGCTCCTACTCCGCCTTGCTATTTTTAATGGTTTAAGGGGCCGACTGGTTTTGTTATGAGGTGCCGACTGTTATGAACCATTCGAGTGTCTTGATTTTAATGCTTGTGTGCATTTGAGGTAGGAGTCATCAAGCTCTCGCTTATAATCAAGGCATAAGTTCAAGGCTACATGCTCACACACTCGGCAATGTAACTCATGCCCAACATCGAAGTGTCGGACGCATGGTTAAAGTTGATCGTGGCTACCACCTGCTACTTCGTGGCTGGGACTAGGCCGGCTGCCATTTAGCCGCCTGCTTTCTTGGGCGAGACGCCAATGCCCAGCTTTCACAATAAGAGAATTAGCACATGAACAAGTTTAAGCATTCACTCTCATGGCCGATTATATTACTACGAGCCAAGCGCTACTCCTCTCGGCAGGCCTTGAGGTTTGAGGTTTATATGTGCGAGTATGTTGGCTGTTTACTTTTGGAAGATCAAGCTGGAACCAAACTCATTTGTATCAAGTATACTTGGCATTATATTTTTGAGCAAAAACCATGCGGTTATACCATGATAAAACATCATATAGAGCAGGTTGGTCTTATCACAATAGCAAAGATCATAGATGCTCGCATGCCGGGGCCGTTTTTGAACCTCAAGTAAACCGAGCACAATGGTTTTTTTGGGTATGGCCGGCTGTAATCTTGAGGAGCACTTGTGATTGTGTAATTATTCACAGCATTCTTGCTTTAAATACATATAGCCGGTTTTTCAAGGCTACCCTCGACGAGCACCGACTGTTTGGCTGACCGAATGCCGACTAACTCTATAATGTCGCCTGCTCTCAAATGCTGAGAGTGCCGGATGTTTTATCAAGAGCTAACTAATGTTGCGTAGAGATGGCCGGCTGCTATTCATGCACCTAACTCTTGTTTTTTACGGCTGGTTTTCGGTTTTGTTTCAGCCAGACCAAGATCCACTAGTTGACCCGCATATGATGCAAGCTGGAAAAAGTTTCATTTGAATTGAAATACATATGGCATTATAAATGTTGGGTGAGCATATATGGAGCTGGCCGGATGTATTGCTTGCAGCCTTTGATGCCGCCTATATCAAACAGATGCTTGGCATGAGGAGAAGTCCGCCTGGTTAGAAGCTCACAAACGACTTCTTCCAGAATTTACTCAGTAATTAAGATTCACCTTGGGTAAGAGCTTCCTCACGGTAATTGCAACGGAAACAATTGACAATCCTCAATAGGGTGCCGCTTGTTTTTACATGACTAGCCGTTTAATCATTGCTTTGGTTGCAAGGGCCACCTGATTTAATCATTACTGCCGCCTAGTTGGCTGATACTAGGCCGGCTGTTTTTAGCGACTGGATGCATTTAACAAAACCATTGTGAAGGCCGGCTGTTTTAGTGCCTCTAGCTGGGACTGAATTGGAGATGGCTGTTCCGTAACGTTCAGGTTTAATAGTGAAGGACCGAATGTTTAGCAGCTGCATAGATTGCCGTTTGTTTGCATTTCATCGTTAGCATGGCCGGATGCGTTGCACCAACCGACTGCTCATGGGGTGTTCTTGTTTCTTTACATGAGCACCTGTTGTTCTCCCACTTGCCGCCTGCTCATACCACACTTGCATCGAAACTATTCGTGTTAGTAGCTGGCATCGTGTTCACCAAATTTGCATGTTTAGGCAAGCTTTCCACTACCTATGCAAGTATGAAGAGCAGTAGTAGCATGCGCATATTCAACCATAGCAACAACATATATTGGCCGGCTGGTTAAAAATACCATCTTGACGCCGATTGCTTGTGCTATGTCAAGAAAAGTTTGGCAAAGGTGATGTTGGATGATACTTTGATTAGTTTGAGAACTATGAGAGGTGCCTTAAGTATCCATTTTCGGCTTCAAGGGTGTAATGCTCACAACGTTTTGAGAGTCGATTGTATGCTAGCGTCTATGGCCCTCATTAAAGAGTTCCGGCTATTTTAGAGCTAGTAGGCCGACTGCTTTGTGGCTGAGTTGGAGCCGATTTCCGCCTACTAGCTTTGAAGAACGAAGCCTGGGTGTCGGTTTGTTCAAGAAGCATAAGGGCCATTACTCCACCTAGCATTTGCGAATCGTTTCAAAAGCTGAGTGTTTAGTGGGCGACGGTTATGATCATGTAAGTCTTGTTTGGTCTCCATGTTATACGACACATGCCTTGGTTTATATACCCTTGGTATTGTGCCTTGTCACTTGAAGAGCCGCCTCCTTGTTATGATCACATGGGACTTTGCCACCTAGTTGGTCTAAGTGACGTGTGGCTAGCAATGTGCTTCTCACGTAATGATATGAAGTAGTCAGCGCTTGATTCCATGTTTACCTACGTTGTATACATATACAAGGTGGTATTAGGCGGCCTAACTTTGCATACCTTCTTTTATTTTTTTTATTTTTTTTTGTAAAATCATAATAATGATTTAATAATTATACCAGCCTACAAGCTTGACCATCCGACTCCCAACATTTGTTCGTATGACGCATGCAGTACTTGGCCGCCTGGCCGGATGCTCGGAGGCTGGTCTTCTACCGGCTGTAACCATTGAGTGTCATGCTAGGCGCATGTAACTTTAATCGGGGTTGGTTAGACCTGGCCGACTGCTTATATTGCCGCCTGGTCTATTAATTTAGCATGGGCAAGAACTATGTCGGTTGTACCCTGTGAGTGTTAGCACACTTTTGTGAGGGTGAGTGCCGCCTGTCTGACTCTCATGGTTAGATTTTGAATACCTCATGGAGGTATGGTGGAGACTGTCTTGAAAATCAGACGTAGAGGCCGACTCTGATAGTCGGTCATTCTTCTTCTGCTCCAGCAACATTCGAGCATCAGAGAATGTTCTCTTTGACTCGTCCGGTTGAACATAACGGATGGGCTTTCTCTTCCCTTGTGAAGGGAAGTGATACTTTGTTTAGTCGATCACTGGCGACTGCCTTACCCCAGGCTTTGGCTAGGGGGTCGCCACACGATCCTTAACAAGTCTAGTTCTCCCGGGGTGGGAGGACGTTCTGGCCGACTGTTCCTTTGCGGGAACAGGCGTTCTCTTTTTGATTAGCTCCTGGATTTCTCCCTTGAAACCTCTCATGAAAGACATGAGTTCGTTCCTGGTAACAGGAGCAGACCCCTCGATCGCCTGTTGATGCTCAGGCGGTGGGACGGGTACGTCGAACTCTAAGGGACCCGTCGGGGGTCGTGTGAGTCTCGACATCGATTTCATTGTCGGTGTCCTGGTCCGACTGAACTAGGGGGTCGTCCATGGGACGCTTGTCACTTAGAATCGGTACAGACTGTGATGCCATCTCGAAAGTACTCTCCCCACAGACGGCGCCAAAATGTTTCGGGGTTTTCTGATGTCCTGCGGGGGAGTTACAATTCCGGGACTGGTATCCTTGCGCCTGTACCTGCAAAACAACGGAGACTCCTTGTGGTGGGAGCTCCGCCTCCAACGGTCAAGTTAGTACTTGTTTGAGGAGTGATAATTGCGGAAAGTAAAGGTGGGAGATCTGGTTCCTCTAGGGGAGGAGTGATCAATGTGTTTTGGTTTTCTCTAGGTGAGAGTCATTCTGCTGAATCCCCTTTAATGAGGATTAATTAAGTATTTATAGTCTTGAGAAGCGTGCCAATTTTAGGTTTAGGTTAACCAGGGCAAATTGGGCTTCTCTCGGACTTTGGGCCTTGGTGGCCATTTTGCCTATTTGGCATATGGGAGGCCACGTGGCGTGGCCTGATTAGTCCATGTTGGACCTCTTAGGGTGACAAATGGCGGACGCTGATTGGCCCACGTGGTGGACACGTGGCAGGTCCGGATTGGTCCATTTGTCACGAGTAATTTTTACCCTAAACACTTGTCATCCTATAATCAATAACAATAATATATAAGGAATAACAAGCTTAATTATCATAGAAAAACAAATTGCCATCATTATTAATAAAACGCGCAACAATTGGAATGAAAAAATGAAATAATTCGGAAAAAAAAAAATGCAATTATTTATTCTTAGTCTTTCTTTAGTCTATACACTTAAGCTTAAGCTAATCAACTATTCCATACTTATTAAAAATGTTAAACTGCTAAATCAATTAACTATGCTAAAGTGTTAAGAAAACAACACAAACAATTAGTCAAGAAGTTTATTCAAGTCTCTTTTTTTTAGGCTTTACAAAGTCACAAATAATCAACTTTAATCGAATTGCTCTACTTTGTATACAAGCTAGCGAGTTGGATATTGTTAGACTTTATAGCGTATTTAAATATATCACCGAAGAAAAAACAATTGATCACCAGAAATCATGTACTGTATTGTGCAGTGAAGGGAGAAATTCACTAGCTAGCTTACCAACCTTCATTCGACGAACACGAGTAAAAGCTTTCTCAATTTGTCTCTCAACCTTAACAAGTTCTTCAAAACCTAACCCTTCTAGATCTTCTCCTTTCAACTGTCTGTCAATAAACAAACGTTAAACACAAATGTGCAATGTTGATCTAAGACACTAAGAGCAAAATATAGGAAGAAATACCTTAACTCTTGCCTTTTGACTTCAACTTCCTTGCTTACAACAGCACAATCATCCTCCAAAAACACAGGATAAGGATCAAGCTGCTCATCATCAGGAAGTTTTTCTGTGTGTCTCATATACCTTTGAATTACTCGAGTCACCCTTATTTTCGGAACAAAGATCAAAATCGTTAAAGCTATACACCGGAGTCAGTATCGAGTACTGTATTCATTTATGTTTCTACAAACAGAAATGGTTGTGCTTGTGCACATTTTGACTACTCCGGTCTGTACAAAGATGTGAAGTATTATCTTCGCTGATTTGACTTATCTGATCTTATTTATACTTTTTTTTAACCTCTAAAATTTGACTATACCTTATTTAATCTATTTAAACTTATCTATAAATATTCATCCCTATTTAGCTCGGCTTTTTTCACCTTAAACAATGTATTACTTATAGCCTAATCAAATCTTTCAAGATCTAGTGTAAAACGCCTAAACGGTTTTGGTTTGGTTGGATCAAAATCAATCTTTCCGGTCTGAATGTTTCTAGTCTTACTTACATGATTCTTTTTGGTATATATATATATATATATATATATATATATATATATATATATATATATATATATATATATATATATATAGAGAGTATGGATCATGTGAAAACAAATGTTAGGGTGAAAACTGAAAACGATTCATCCTAGCCGTAGATTATAATCTAGCGGATGACGTCTAACGTTTATATACTAATTTTCTCTCTCCTCCCACGAAAACAATTTCTCTCTCCTCCGTTATTTTCTTCTTCCTCCACTCTCTTACTTTCTCTCTCCTAATTTCTCGACATTTTTTTCCCCAATTTTCACGCTACTTTTTTCAAATTCAGCTTCAATTACTTTGATTTTCAGCAATTTTTCAGCTCTACGATCTATTATCAGGTGAGTTCTTTGTGTTAATTTCGCTATATTTTGCATGATTTGAGGTTTTAAGGTTTCTGAAATTTTCATCAATTTTGTTCGATTTTGTTTGATTTTGCGATTTTCTGTTCGATTTTGTTCAATTTAGTTCGATTTCCTGTTTTACTAATCGATTAATTTTAGTTTTTTCCTTAATTTCATTGATTTGTTCGGTTCAGTCGAGTTTTTCCACCATTGTTAACTAATTTGAAGTTCAACTTGTTGATTTGATTGATTTTTGCAGTGGAAGAAGAAGCGTATGAGGAGATTGAAGAGGAAGCGCCGAAAGATGAGACAGAGATCTAAGTAGAAGAAGATCTATAGCTTTCATGATTTTTTCAGTGTTGTTGAAGCTTTTTTCTGGCGCCCATGGCGAATCAACGGCGGCGCCACCACCACCTCTACCACAGCAACACCAGCATCAGCCGCCTTTCTCACCGATTTCTTCCCGTTGTTACCTCCATCGTCGACGTCTTCGTCCTCCGCTTCTTCGCTTTCTCGCTCCTCGTCCTTCTCGCCTCCTTCACCATGGCCACTCTCGCAGCTCATCTTCTCTTTGGTATTCTCTCTCTTTCGCTTTCTCTCTCCTCTGACACTGTAATTACAACAATTTGTTCTATAATTTGTTTAATTACTATAATTTCTTCATATATGAGGTTCTGTTTGTTTAATTAAGTGATGAATTATTGTCCAATTGTTTTGTTTTTGGATTTTACTTTTGTTCAATTGAAATTAATGATTTTTTTTTTGTCTGAATCATTGATTTGTTTTTCGATTTTTAGATCTTTGATTTTTTAATCTAGAGTTTTGATTGTTTTAATGTTGATTTGTCTCTGTATATGAGAGATTTGAGTTTCAGTGATGACTATTTTTTTAGAAATTCTAAATGTTTGATTTAGGTCAGAAAATGTATGATTTGTTAATGTTGATTTTGTAAATTTGGTTGATAATTACAAACTCGCGCTTAATTGGAGTGTTGTTTTTTTTAACCCTTTGGTGATGTTGTGACAATTAATTGAAGTGAGTTGATTTACTGTACATAGTTTGGTATTACAGTAGATTGATTTAAGATTGGATCCAAAATTCTCTTGTTCAGTTTGTTTATAGAATCACCATGTTTATGGGATCACCATATTATGAAAAGTGATTTAATCAACATTAATTTATTGTGATTCCAACAGTTCCCCTTAGGAGCTGTGAGAGGGGTACATGATAGAGGCGAGTAAAAATCTTACTGTGAGTAACAACACCCTGTGTTATGCAGTAAATGGCTAATGTCGTTATATGTCATTATCAGCTCATGCTGTGTTTTAAGATCTAAATAATATGCTTTGTTTTTTGCTTAGGTTTTTGTTGTTCTCTTTTACTAATTATCAAGGGTTTATGCATATTAATGAATTAGTTGTTTTTATAGGACTTAATAGACGTGGTAAGAGTTACAGGCTTAGGTGTACTAACTACCTGAGGCCTGACCTTAAGCATGAAGAATTCACAGAACAAGAAGAGAAGCTCATCATTCAGTACCATGAAGCTATATATAGGCAGCAGGTGGATCTAAAGTTTAATCTAAAGTTTGTCGCATTGGATCAATTTTAGTTAATTGATTACTCACATTGATTGCTCTAGTTGTTAATTGATTTTTGGTAGTTCATAGTGTGATTTAGTCAAAATTAATAATAGCTAATTATTTTCTTAGTGTAAATTTTAATGAGCAGGAAGTTATCTTATGATAAGGAGCAGTAGGATGACAAGGAGGAGAAAGAGAAGTTATCTGATGATAGTTACCTTATTTTTGTAAATAGTGACTTCTATATCAATGTGGTCAATGTTGTCAAAATTGATATAATTACCTAATTTTTATATATAGTGACCTTCGTTATTTTTATATATAGTGGCCTCTGTAAATTGATGTAGTTACCTTATTTTTGCATATAGTGACCTTTATGTAAATGTAGTCAAAATTGATATAATTACCCTATTTTTGTATATAGTGATCTCAAAGTAAATATTGTAAAAATTGATATAGTTACCTTATTTCTATATATAGTGACCTCGGTGTAAGTGTCATCAAAATTAATATAACTTGATATAATGACCTTATTTTTGTATATAGTGACCTCTAGGTTGTTTCACACCATCAGATGATCTAGTGAACATTCAATGGCTAAGATTGCTTGTTTTTAGTTTTCACCATAAGCTCTGTTTTCAGCGGAACCTCCCCGTATATATATATATATATATATATATATATATATATATATATATATATATATATATATATATATATATATATACTAATATGATTTCAACAACAAGAAATAAGTTTCTAAAATAAGATGAAGTGAATGTAATCTTTAATAAAAAAAATTTACAGCCATAATTACATCATAGTTATCAAAAGAAAAAAAAAATAAAAATCTGATCTTTTTTCCTTTTTCTCTCCTTAATTCATCAATTGTAATAGGTGAAGATTCAAATCCATCCTCAGATTTTGTACTGTAGAAAAATAGGCTAGCTTGTACGGATTTATTAAATTAAAAAATAAATAAATAAACTTAGATTAGCTAGCTTCATTTCTAGATATCCTACTGTATACACATTAGTTCAAATCATAAATTCTGATTTTTCCCAGATTTTCCTGAAGTTTTTTGAACTTTTACTTTCCTCTTCAACTACTCCATTTCATGATCTTTTTCTTATTTTAATTTTTATTAAGAATATAAACATAAAAATTCAATTTCAGACAAAAATATAGATGAAAATGCAAATCATAAAATAAAAATTTTAAAAAAAAAATTACTATAAAAGGAAGGAGAGAGAGAGAAAAATTAAACCTTGAAGTGGAGAATTCATAGAGTTTGTCAGAAGAAGAGAAGACAATGAGAGCAATTTCAGCATCACAAAGAGTTGAAAGTTCTTGAGCTTTCTTAATAAAACCTTTTCTCCTCTTTGAAAATGTTACTTGCCTTGCTGCTATATTTTCTATCTTCTTGATCTGTATTCTTGATCTCACCATGTTTTTTTTTAATCGGCTCCTATGATTAATTAATTCATAATTATAAACATGGAAAAGAAAAAAATTAAGTTAGTTAACGGGTTTGGAAAAAAAAAATAAGGAAAAAAAGGGAAAGTATATAAAAACTGCGTTTAGGATAAGCTAAGTACCACAACAAAGAGCTAGGTAGCTATCTTTGCAAAATCTAGATCTTGCCATATAAAAAAGAAAACCAAGAAGAAGAGCTAACCCTAGAAGGAAAGGAATGAAGAAATATGAGAGGAGCATAATCAAAAGCAAAAAGGTAATAATGGGGCCAATGAATGTGACATTGGTATAATTATATGATAGGATTGGGCAAAGTGGTCTGATAATTAGGGCAAAAAGATAATTATTTATGTTTTTAATTGGCCCTTGAACAATCTAATGGAGCCACAGCTACACGTATAGCATCATTGCCTCGTTGAGTCAATATACTACTTGATTAGGGGATTTTTATCCACCAATCAACATCCGACACGTGGGCCATCCAGGTTTCACCACGTGTCCTTCATGTAGGCCAATAGGAGTCTGCCACGTGTCATCAAGAGATTCGTCCTCCTTGGACCAATTGCAATGTGACACGTGTCCACCCATGTCAAATGGGAAAACCGGCCAACAAGGCCCAATCATTGTGGGAGACCCAGTCAGCCTTAGGTTTAACCTAAACCTAGTACTGGCACGCATCCCAAGGCATATAAATATGCCCATTAATCCTCATTAAGGGAGATTACGCACATTTAACACTCTCACCTAGAGAGACCCAATTACTTTTATTTCCGCATTAATTACTCCTTAATCAAGTACTAACTTGACCGTCGGAGGCGGATCTCCAATCGTCCGGAGCATCCGTTTGTTTTGCAGGTACAGGCGTCCGGTTCCAGTCTCAGAATTGTAACTCTCCCGCAGGACATCAGAAAACCCCGAAACATTTTGGCGCCGTCTGTGGGGAGAGTACTTCTGAGATGGCATCCACGTCTGTACCGACTCCTTAAGAGAGGCGTCCCCTGGACGACCCTCAAGTTCAGTCGGACCATGATACTGAGGAAGAATTTGAAGTTGAAGCTCACACAGCTTCAGACGGGACCCTAAGGGCCCGACGCACCCGTCATACCGAAAGGAGAGAACGGGAAGATCTTCAAACTGGACTCAGTGATCCAGCCGGCGCACCGCCTGTTCAGCAGCAGCCGGCTGATGGGTCTGCTCCCATTACAAGAAACGAACTCATGACCTTCATGAGGGGCTTCAAGGGAGAGATTCAAGAGTTTCTCAACAAGAAGCCGCCTGCTCTGGCTAAGGAGCAGTCGGCTAAGAAACCTTCCTCTTCAGGGAAGAGGAAGCCTGTTCAAGGGCGAGAGGCGACCCCTCATCCTAACTCTAGGAAGTGGGAGCCGCTTGTCCTTGATTTCACAAAGTACCGCTTTCCTACTCCAGGAAAGAGGAAACCTGTTCGTCATATTCAGGCGGACGGGTCGAAGAAAACATACACAGATGCTCGGCTATTGCTAGAGCAGAAGAAGAATGACCGATTGTCAGAGTCGGCCTCTACTTCAGACTTCCAAGACAGTCTACGCAATACCTCAATGAGGTATACTCAGTCGCATCATGAGAGTCAGTCAGGCGGTACCTCCCGTCAGTCCGGCTTTCATAGTGACCAGGCGGTACCAAACTTACCATTTGTACCGCAACAACAATATTTTTTGCAGCCACCTCTGTTTGGAGGGCATGCAACAAAGAATGTCCAACCTATGGACTGGCAGCTACGGTTGCTTAGACTTGGGGAACAGCCGTCGGCCTTCTCCAAGGAAATTACTGAAGCCGCTCAGCCGGCCAAAGTGAAAAATGTATTAGTAGGCGCCTATGACGGCACTACTAACCCAGAAGACCATTTGATGGCATTCACCAACCTGATGTACCTTCAAGGGTTGGATGATCCCACTTGGTGCAAGTGTTTTCCAGCGACTCTCAAAGGAATCGCACAACAATGGTTCGGCAACCTGCCGACTGGTTGTGTGAATAACTTCAGGACGCTTGCTTACTTATTCACCTCCAACTTTGCCATGAACATACCTGCGAAGAAGACGACCCTTGATTTAGGAACGATTCAGCAGGGTGAGAAGGAGGGGCTTCGTTCTTACATCAGGCGGTTTAACCTGATGAGAATACAGATTCAAGGGTTACCGGATGAGGTAGCCTATACTGACTTTTCAGAGGCCTCAAAGACGGTCGACATTCAAATTTGATTTGGTTCGAAAGAGGGTGGCGACTCTTCAAGAGGCCTTGATTGAAGCGGAAGCCTATATACAGGCGACTGATCTTTGTAGTACGGGAAAACAGTCGGACGGGAAAAGGTTCGACAAAAGAGAAGGACGACAGAAACAGTCGTCGAACAAAGATGAGAAGAAGAGAAAAGAGGTCTGGGCGGCTGATTCCTCTAAACAGCCGGCCCAGAAGAAGAGGAAAGAATTCAAACCATACTCCCCAAAGTATGCGTTTCACAAGGATAGCCAAGCTATCCTAAAGGAAATCAAGGGACGGATCTCAATTGAGAAGCCGGCCCCCATGAAGGGTTCTGCAAGCAACCGGAACCAAGAAAAATTCTGTGATTATCATGAAGATGTTGGTCATCACACCAACGAATGCATCAGTCTCATGCGGTATCTGGACTGCCTGGCTGAGCAAGGCGATCTTGACTCTTATGTCAAGAAATCTACGGGGAACACTTCCTCGAAAAAGCAGTCGGCCAAAAAGAGTCAACAGGCCGACAGCTCTGATACAGATGATGCAGTCGTCTACACCATTGCAGGCGGCTTCTCAGGAGGCGGCCCCACTATTAGGGGCAACAAAGACAATATCAGGCGGCTAGACGTAAATTCCGTTCACCAAGAACGGCCCTCCAAATATTCATTTCCTGAGATTGTCATCACTGAAGAAGATCTAGGAGGGGTAAGGGGGCCGCATGACGACCCTATCGTTATTAAATGTAAAGTGGCCAACCAGAGAGTTGGCCGAATCCTTATAGATACCGGAAGCTCCTCATATCTTATCAGTAGCAAATGTCTGTCAAAACTCAAATATCAGACTGATTGCATACATCCGGCATCCCATCCTTTAGTAGGGTTTGGAGGAGGAGGAGTCCACCCAGTGGGACGAGTGGATTTACCCATCCGCCTGGGTGAAAAAGGGGAAGGACGACACATGGTAGTCCGGTTCCTGGTAGTAGAAGAACTCTCGGCCTACAACATGATTCTGGGACGACCAACCCTGAATAATTCCAAGGCTGTTATAATCCCATCTCTTATGTTGCTCAAGTTTGAGAGGGATGATGGAACAGTCGGGTCCCTAAGGGGAGATCAGAGGATGGCCCGAGAGTGCTATCTCTCGGATATCAAGCCCACTGTTATGGCCGCTGGGTCAAGTGGTGGAAAAACAGACCTTGACAATGTCAAGGAGAGTGCGCCTGTTCAAGAAGCAGGCGACAAGAAGAGAAAGGCAGCCCAGACGGGGGCCGCAAGAAAAGACAGAAAATAGCAATCATTGGCAGAGGAGCGGTCGGATGAATTCCTCCCTCAGCCGGCTGGTGAGCATACGGACCTGATCTTAGAAGACTCGCGTCCTGACCGAACAGTCAAAGTTGGGACGACTGCTCTGAGAGTCCTAGGTGACGACTTTCACAAACTATTGAAAGAATACAAGGACATCTTTGCATTCGAAGTCCACGAAATGCCAGGCATTAGTCCTGACCTGGCGGTACATAAACTGGCTGTGGATTCGAAAAAGAAGCCGGTAAGGCAGAAGAAGCGGAACCATGGCGAAGAAAGAAGTCAGGCGGCAGCCGCCGAAGTTAAAAAATTACTTGATGCAGGGTTCATTCGGCAATGTTACTTCCCAGACTGGGTTGCAAATGTGGTGCTTGTTAAAAAGCCGAATGGCACCTGGCGAATGTGTGTAGACTACACAGACTTAAACAAGGCGTGCCCCAAAGACAGTTACCCTCTGCCTAAAATTGATAACCTGGTCGACTCAACAGCCGGCCATGCTTTGATGAGCTTTATGGACGCCTACTCTGGTTTCCATCAAATTCCTTTATGGAAGAAAGATCAGGAGAAGACGACCTTCGTCACTGATCAAGGGTTATACTGTTACACGGTCATGCCGTTTGGTCTCAAGAATGCCCCGGCCACCTTCCAGCGAATGATAAACACTGTGTTCTTTGATCAGATTGGGAGAAACGTCGAGGCATACATTGATGATATGATTGTCAAGTCTAAGCTTCAGATAGATCATCTGTCGGACCTCCGAGAAACTTTCGCCACACTCAGGCGGCACCATGTCATGCTCAATCCCAAGAAATGTGTATTTGGAGTTGAGTCTGGGAAATTTCTCGGATTCCTTATCAATCAGAGAGGAATAGAGGCGAACCCTGAGAAGGTGCAAGCGGTCATCGACCTGCAGTCGCCTCGTACCGTCCGAGAGGTTCAGAAGTTAACAGGTTGTCTGGCGGCCTTGGGAAGATTTCTACGCCGATCAGGCGACAAATGCTTATACTTCTTCCAGGCCATTAAGAAGAAGGCAAGGTTTGAATGGGGGCCGGATGCTGAGGCGGCCTTCCAGAAATTGAAAGTTCACTTGCATTCCTTGCCGAGGCTGGTCAGCCCTTTGCCCAAAGAAGTACTTTACATGTACCTGGTCGTCTCTGATCATGCGTTAAGCGCTGTTCTTCTTGCTGAAAGAGACGGCTGTCAGCTCCCGGTCTACTTTGTCAGTCATGTACTGAAAAATGCCGAGTTGAGGTATCCCTTAGTGGAGAAATTTGGTCTTGCACTCTTCATGGCTGTTAAAAAATTGAAGCCCTACTTTTTGGCACATGCAGTCGTCGTGTATACAAATCAACCTATCAAGCGGCCACTGACCACCATGGAGTCGTCAGGCCGGATGATCAAATGGGCCATAGAAATACAGAGCCTCGAAGTTAATTTCGAGCCTAGAAAAAGCAGTGAAGGGGCAAGCCTTTGCTAACTTTATTGTTGAGATGACTCGTCCCCCTGATTCTCGAGATCCAGACCAAGTCTGGAAGGTATATATGGACGAAAGCTCTACTTCAAATGGTTGTGGAGCAGGCGTCATATGTCAGTCGCCAGAGGGCGATAGGTACGAGTATGCTCTACGCTTCAGTTTTCAGGCCTCAAACAATGAGGCAGAATATGAAGCTTTACTAGCCGGAATCCGCATGTGCAAGGCGGCAGGGGCACGAAAGA